AACCAGCAATATGTATGTAAAGCCAAAAGAAACAAGAAAAAGACCTATAAAGTCAATACCCCAAACATCAAAGATTTCACATAAAAGTATAGGATGTTGGGGCATTTGATGTCTACGGAAAATACTTCCTCCCCTTTGACAGTTATCACATTATTTACAAAAGAAAGATGCATCATGGAACAATCAAGGCCAAAATAAACCAGAATCTAATATCTTTCTAGCAGTTCTTTGGGGTCCAAAATGACCACCATACGCAGATGCATGATAAAATTGCATGACTGACTGAAACTCAGTATCCCGAAGATAGTATTTGAATTCACATGTGTAAGTGATCATTTTTAGCTTTTTTTGTGTTGTCAAGCTCCACAACACTGCAAAATGCAAATGGTCTCTTTGAGTTTTCTTTTTCTTTTAATTTGGGATGCTTATGATGCAGCCTTTTACTAATTTCAACCAACTTTTAAGAATATTTGTGAGTTCTACAATGAAATCCTATATTTTTCATCTTAATCCTAGCCTTGTATTCTCTCGTATACTCACATAACCTATACTTTGAATGGATTTTTTAAATCAGGATTTGATATCAATTGAACTAAATAACATTTAGGTGAATCCTTAATCCTACAGTTACAGCTGAATGATTATTGTCGCTGACGTTAAAAGTCCTTTTCGATTCTCCAGAGTTGTAACCTCTGTTAATCTTTGTTAATCTTTGCGTCCTCGAAATCTTGTGAGCCTTCAAAGTTTTTAAAGGAGCCTCTAGTTGCATAACAACTGATACCCTAATCTATAACAACATTGTTAATCGCTGCATTGCAGAAATCTTGTGACCCTTCTCCGTAGTTGTTAAACGAGTCCACAGTTATTAAGCAAAGTAGCTCACTATTGCCACCAAAATCATTGAGGGTGGAACTAATAGCTATAACAAGACACTGTTGCGAACTACTAGTAGTGGAAGTACTGAGGTTGCTATACCTTTGTGGTTGTCATGTTTAGAGTTATCATTGTCCCTCCTGCCATGTTGCTTCGTTTTCTTCTTTGATGTGGAATCTGGGATACTGTTATAGGAAATAACTAGGTGCTAGTGGAAGATTAGTGTAACACCCCGTTCTAGAACCGGTTTGTTAACATCACATTATGATATTAAGCGCAGTTACAATCACATGGGTTCAATTAAAATCCGGTTAAATTTTTCATTTTAAAACATGCCGAATTTATAATGCCTAATTACGTGATCATAACATATTACATTGCGGAATAAAATAAATTAAGCTTAACATCATACTTTTATATCCTTAGACCAAATGTTATTAAATATCTTCTTCTAATCGTTAGCTACGCGTGGCTTCGAACCGTGCCACGTTTGGAGCACTGTAGCCCAAGTTATGACAATTTGAAGCAACACAAGAGGGTGTTGAACACAGGCCCCACGCGCTTCAGCGCGCTACCGGGCGCTCAAGCGCGCGTTATCGGGCGCTAAAGCCTCCATCTGGGCGCTTAAGCGCACGGAGGCAGAAAGCATCAGGTCTTTCAGTGTAGATGGGCGCTTCAGCGCGCACCAGGGCGCTCAAGCGCGATATCCTGGGCGCTTAAGCCCCCATTTGGGACGTTTTAGCGCGCAGAGACAGAAGCATCTCCTCCTTCAGTGGCTAAGGGCGCTCAAGCGCGAACCAGGGCGCTCAAGCGCGCAACCCTGGGCGCTTAAGCCCCCACTCTGGGCGCTAAAGCCCGCGGAGGCCGTAAGCATCCCATCTTTCCGCAGCGAAGGGCGCTCAAGCGCGCAATCCTGGGCGCTTAAGCCCCCACTTTGGGCGCTCCGGCGCAAGGAGACAGAGAACATTAGCTCTCACAGGGGAAGCAGGGCGCTCGAGCACGCTCCTGGACGCTGGAGCGCGCTGTCAGGGAATTCTCCCTCTCTCATTTCTCAAGTCTAAAACTAGGGAAAAGGGCATCCCCATGGCAAGCCTCAATGGATTAACCCTCTCATCATGGATTATACTAAAATTTGGGCAGCATAACCTTTGTTTTCTCAACATTCCCCAATTTAGCACTAGGTATATAATCAAGTTTTCCAGCTCAACAATCCAATACATAATGAGCATGCATATAATGAACTTAAGGTAATCATCAATTACAAATCATGTTCATTACAATTTATGGAACTTAGCTTACAAAACACTATGATCACTCCCTTGACTCTCTTCAACAAAGAGATAACCAAAGGCATGAGCATAGGCTAAGTCCATTCCAAATAAACAGAACATACATCTATCAATTGTCTATTAATTACAATCCTATACATGTGAGCTACAAAACAACATGTATAATATCAAAATACAGGATCCTCATGCATCACTACTAGTCTAAGTATGGCCACTTGCCACTGGTGGCTCCTGCAGCATCCTTACCTGAAAGGGGGTCCCCATAACACGGGGTGAGATATACGAATATATCCAGTAAACCAGGGGTCCTTGGAGCATCTCTCCACCCCACAGTTCCATACCAGTGTAATAGCAATAACAATAATAATGCAGTAAATACATATCTATGCAAAGTGCAATAACATCTCCAGGAGAAATCCTGCGAGCTCTCAAGCTGTCCTAAGGAAACTCAGATGCAAATAGTCCTACTGGCCAGCTAACTACCAAGTATGGTTTACGCATCGTCATGCAACATACCACATAGGGAAACACCATCCTATGCCACACCAAATGCATACACATACGTATAACAAAGCATTACACTATTTCATTGCATTTATATACACTATAATTACCACTACCCTTTCAGGGCTTGGTGGAACAATCAAGGGAATTACACCCAAGGTCCGAAGGCTTACCTCAAGCTTCTGTCAACCTATATTCTCCACCAACAGGTTCGACAACCAATTGCAATAATCCACTTTCCAAACAAAACCTACACAAGGTTTAATGCAATTTAAAACATATTGCATCCAAAGTGTCTCATAATTACCAACCACAACTCAATCATGCCACAACTAAAGCATGGACTCACTTATTCCGATGAGCTAATCAAGCTCCATAGCTTGCTCCAATGGTTGATCACTCAAGGTTGGTCCAAATGCCTCAATTCTAGACATCACATGGACACAATAATTATTCAACCAACCAATGACCATAATTGCAAGAAAACTCACAACCAAGTATCATATTCTTGCAATATTCATAGTATAGTCATATAACTATCTAAGCTCATTTTCACCGATTAATCATCATTCCTAGCATTTCTCATAACATACGCTAAGCTACAATACGCCTAGAACATAGCCAATCTATCAATATTTCATAAAAACCCTAAAACACTATTCATTAAAAACCCTAAATCATGGAATTTCCAAGAGAGCAAGGTTCAAGGGTTAGAATCTTACCACCAATGGTCACACAACCAAGGATTGATGGCTCCTCAAGCTTCAATGGAGGTTGAAGCTCTCAAACACCTCAATTTCTCCAATGGGCCGAATTTTTGGAGGATGATATCCCACTCCACAATGCTCCCCACTAAAAACTAAGCTAGGATTATGAAAGAAGAGAAGATTTGGAGTGGTTTAGGCTTTGGAATGAGTTGATTCGGCCAAGGTTTGCTCACTCCATGGTTTCCCCTTCTTCTTCCCTTTTCTCCCTCTCCTCCCTTCTTTCTTTTCTTCTCTGATGCTGGTTCGACGGGGAAATGAGGGGCTTGGGTTCTTTTTTTTTGTTTTATGCCACTTAACCTTATGTTAAATGGTTTTAAGTGGGTATCGGTTCATCTATCTATTTAACTCCAATAATTACCAAACTTCACCCAAAAGTCTGGAATATTATTCTAGGAACATTTTCACTTTTATTTTTATATTTTGGGTACTTTTGCCTACACCCATTTATACCCCTTAATTTTTACTGAGTACACTTTTTAACTCCAAAGTGACTCAAATTCATTTAATTAAGCCTTATACTTAATTTTACTCACTAAAACATGTTTAATTATTTAATTACATGTAATTTGCTAATTAATTGGGTTAGGACTATTATAATTAGGAAGGGTGAGAATTTATTGAGTTGAAAAATGCTGCATTAAATGAGAGCGGGATTAGCCCCGTGCATGTCAGTTACAGGACTAATGATGTGGCAAAGAGAGACGCACAACAAACATGCGGGATTGGCTGGCGTGGTATTGAGGGAAGCACAATAAACATGTGAAACTGGATGATGTGGCAAAAGTGACACATAAAGTACGTGCGGAAGTCATGACGTGGCACTAAATCTCATATTAATAAGATGCGGGATTGATCAACATGCTTTGACTGTGATGGAATCTTTTTCGTTGCGGATTAACTAGGCGATTCTTTTAATGAATTGCACTAGTACAATCATTTTTCCATCTGATTACTTATGTATGTTGCTTAATCTTTATTTTTGTCACTATTCGAGTGGTGATTTCTTTCTAGTAAGATTAGTGTGCATTCAAAGATACGTCTTGTTGGATTATCGCGTTTTTTAGATTTCAGACAATTATTTTCAACATGATGGAAGCAAAAGAAAGCAACAACTCAGTGGATAGGTCCAAAACAAGAAAAAATGTTTGTCCTTTTAAAGGAAAGTCATTTTAGTTAAAACTGATATTTTTTATTTAATATTTAAATTAAAAAAATTTCACTTTTTTTCCACCATGATTTATATTTCTCTAATCATACAAAGTAAAATGACAATTTTCTATATCCTTTAAAATAACAAATATTAATCCCCAAAACAATCACCCCTCCAAATTACTTGCCAAGGTGAAATATTGAAATGCTAATTTAAATTTTCAACCTTTTCAAAATTTATAAATTAATATTATGATTAAAAGTTGATTTTTTATTATATTTAATATGCCTTAGATTATGGTTTATAATCTGTCTTTTCCGTGGATAATTTTTTTGTAATTTAAGTGAATCTAATATATTTTTTTTCATTTGTTCCAACCGTGACAAACAAGAAATCAAATATGTGTGATGACTGATGAGTGATCTGCCATGTGCGAAGGATTAGCAGCCAAAAACGCACCTCTTCATTTTTTCAGACCAAATCAGCAAGCCCATAGGGAGAGTGAGAGTCACAATTATCAAATTATTTTTTCGATACTCAAGCAAGTGGCAACTCCCCAACCGCCACGATGTATTTATCTTGCGCCATGCCCATTCCTCATGACTCTATTTTGTTAAATTCCACTTTTGCCCCCACTCCCATTTCAGAGCCTCGCCGCGCATCCCAATCCCAACGTTCTCCTCGTTTTCTTTGCTTCTCTTCTTCGTTAGGTACTCCCCCTCCTACTCTCTCTCTCTCTCTCTCTCTCTCTCTCTCTCTCTCATTTTTTTCTTCTGCCATGTGAATTCTCATCCACGTTTTCGATGCGCTTTGCTAGAAACTAATCACCTCCAAAATTCTGAGGATTAACTTTCGATTACTTTTACGACGATTCCGTGATCTAATAGTGATGGTGACTCGTTAATTAGTATTCGTTTATGAAAAATTGTTCGTTTCCGGTCATGTAGGAATTAATGGCGCCACTGCTGTTGATCTAGCTCTTTTTGAAATGTAGTAGAATCGTCGTCTCAGTTTTTACTTTCTTTACTAATGATTGACGAACATTCAAATTTTCTTGAAATCAACCTGTCTTCTTCTTCTTTTTAAGCTTGTTCTTTTATTTCATTAATGTTAATAATATATCAAATCCTATAGTCATCTTTGGGCGTTATTGTTGTATGTTCCATGATTCTTGGCGCGTAATCTTGGATCTGCAGTGTTCCTCATTGTTGCTGTTCTGTGTGTTGAGAATATAGAATCTTCTTGTGTGACTTTATGTGATCTTTTTATGCTTGCAAATGTTTGGTACTTTACATCTTTAGGTACAAATACTTATAAGCAAACTTGTGTGTGGTAGAGCCATTCTTGTCTTGTTCAAGGAGACAAGATATAGGCGTGAAGTTTTGCTTATACTCACTACTGGTTTAGTCATTACTTCATCAGTCACACTTTCTTGATGGCTTTTCTTTCATGTCACTGCAGATATGGATACTGCTGCAGGTCAAAGTCTTTATCCATTGCACCGTTGTAAAACTCTTCACCTGGTTTGTGGCAACTTTATGCTTGAAGCAGATTCTTGTTCTTTTTGTTTCCCTTATGATATGAAAATTATATTTGTTCCGTGTAACGTGGCTTAAATTTCTTTTCCCTACATACGTTTGAAATGTAATCCTAAAGCTTTTACTCACCTGTGATTTGTAACTTGTTATATTGACTGATGTTACCTACTTATCTCATTCTGCCTGATATTATAAAATGAAGTTTTAATCTAAACCCTGATGTTCAAGAAGATTAGGAAGTGCATGAAATTTAGATGATGTGGGTCAAAATTCCATTATATTTTAAGGGTGAAATGAATTATCAGATAAGTATAGGGATTCGTAGCTTGTGTATTGGAGTATATTGTGCTTTGGTTCTTGAGAAGATCATTTGCTTACTTTCAACAGTATTAAGGTCTTATCCAAGCTTGTACACAGGTTAGACATGCCCAAGGATTCCACAATGTAGAAGGAGAGAAGAACAATGATGCATACTTGTCTTACGATCTTTTTGATGCAAACCTAACCCCTCTCGGCTGGAAGCAGGTAATTGCCAGTCAAATTAATTGCTGTCATTCAGGATAGACTTTGTGTTTTGCAGAATTCTTGAGGTGTTTACACTTATAAAAGGGAAACATGGTGCTATAAAGCTCCTGCAAGGCGTAGGGCCCATGGAAGAGTCAGACTCATTAAGTGGGTATATAATAATAGGATGTCTTAGCTGATTACATGATTCAAACTTGAGACCTTTGGGTCACATGGCGACAACACCAACCGTTTTGCCAAGATTTTCTGTAGTGATTGGTATTGGTGTTATGCCTTCATATTCTCATAATTTGTTTCTCTTATCAAACAGTGATTATCTCATTCTGGCATAGATCTATCTCTAGCTAGTTCTTTCCCTTTTTTTTCCTGGTTAATTTTTTGTTATTTAAACATCATGGTCGAATATTTGTGTCTCTATGACAGGTTGATAATCTGAGAGAACATGTTAAGGGAAGCGGTCTTTCCAAAAGAATTGAACTAGTTATTGCTTCCCCCTTGTTAAGGTATAACTTCATTGTGATTTAGAATTCTCCTGAGACGTTTACTAGCCTCATTTTTTTCAAGAGTTGTTTCTTCTTTTACTGCTTTCCATTAAAATTGCTTATCTGACCAAGGTCTTAAAGATTTATTGTAATATACCAGATAGGCTGATAGAGATATGTACAGGTGGTGTGAGTTGAAACGAGACATGTTATGACGTGAGGGTATATACATCTGGTAACTTAAAAGATAGCAGAATTGGATTCGAATGAACATACATAAAACAACAGAAATTGAATATGATTTTTTAAAGCTGCTTTGTTTTTCTGATTGTTAGTGGATGATGCAACATATTTTATGACTCTTGACCAAAATCCAACAGAACACAGATACTCAGAGAATATCTGACATTACTTTTTGAATTATATATTGTGTTTGCTAGTCTATTATGTAGATGTATATATTTGTTATATGTCTAACATCTATTATTTAATGTCTTTCAAATATGAGTGCACTATGCTTCTTAATAAATGGTTTATAATTTCTTTTTAAATTCTGAAAAGAAAGAAAAACTGGAAACGACACATTTGTGAACAGATCATCCTACCCATATAGTTTTATTTTCAATATGGGGGATATTTACTTATAATAAGTATTGATCTTGATTTGGAGTTAATCCTTTTAGTATACACTAGGAATTTTTTAAACGTATTTTTGTGGAGTTGTACACTTGTACTGCTATTTGCACAGAATAAATGTTTTGTATATTAGTGAACAAACAGGAGTATTTATTTAGTTTGGGAGGAGCGTCATCATAAGTTAAAATTGCTAATTATTGTATTACAGGACCATGCAAACAGCCGTTGGAGTCTTTGGTGGTGAAGCATACTCTGATGGGATTAATGTACCTCCTCTGATGAATGACAATGTGGGAGATAGTGGTCGTCATGCAATTTCTAGTCTGTATTCCCCACCATTTTTAGCAGTAGAGCTTTGCCGAGAGCATTTGGTATATAATGATGATGATTTTATAGCTTTGAAGTTTGGATGATTGAATTAACTAATTGTATCAATCATTCCTTTGCTTTCTTCAATTCTCTTAGTTCCTATCTCTGCTTGTTTTTTTTCCCCTCTTAAAAGCTTCAAGAGGGCATAGCATCAGTTATTTGAAAATATACCAGATGAATTACTTAAATTACATGGCTGTCTACCTTGCCATCTTGAAACCTGCTTTCCAGCTTATTTAGGAAACTGATGTCAGGTCTTGTCGCTCATTTGCTGTTTGTTTGCTTGTTGAATTCAATATAATCATTACATCAGCTTCTTGAGGAGCTGCTGTAAGGTCATACTTGCCTGTCCCAACTTTAGCCCATTTTATTTTTGTTCCTTAATCCAATTCACTTCATTTTGTTATATCTTTAACCGAGTTTCCGGAGTCTTGTTAATAGTCTGAAGTTCGTTGATTCACTGCAGGATGAGGACATGAGGTGTGTGGTGGGCTGTTGGCTCCTTCATATTGCTTTATATTTTGACTGTATTGATTTTCAAATATTCCCTTTTTATTTCATTGAACAATTGGTGGAGGTCACTGGTTTTCAGCTTTTACGTGGCCTATGAACTTGTAGCTAGTGACTAGATTAGATTAGGTTATGATGAGCGGAAAGGAGTTTCAAAATTGAGCGTGTGGTATCTTTTACATCCTCTCCTGCTGTTTTTAATTTCATTTCATTAAGCTTTTCTGTAATGCTTGCTTCTTCTTCTTTTTTTGTAATCCAGGGGGTGCATCCTTGTGATAAGAGAAGAAGCATCACCGAGTACAAAAAGATGTTTCCAGCAATTAATTTTTCACTGGTACGTGATCTATTTTGATTAGCTCATAATATGCACTAACAGCTGTTGCGATTAAGTTTGTTCTGATGCATTTGTTGCTAGAAGATAATCGAAATTTGTTTAGATGGGATTTATGCTTGGTATAAATTGTGTTTAGATAGAAAATGATGAAGACATTTTGTGGAAACCTGACACTAGAGAGGAGAATGAAGAAGTTGCTGCCAGGGGGCTGAAATTTTTGGAATGGTGAGTGTGATTAAATAATTTATGTTTCCTGTCAATGACTATGAATAGTTGACAAGAATAATCTTATCATTGAAAAGTAGGGAGAGCCAAAGAGGTTTGAGCGTTCTGAATTGGAAGGTTCATATTGGTTGGATAAGGTTGCCTTTTTGACTATTTTGCACTTACTGTGATAATTTCAGAGACATTCAGACGATGCATGTGGTTGCACAATTTGATTTTTAATTTTCCAGTGTGCTGTTGTATGGTATCTGAAGCACATGTTTACACTAATCCATTAGGATTATATATTGGTGGTTTCAAATTTTAAGAAGGTATTTTGACAAGCATTTGCCGCAATAGGACTTTATGAACCTTAAACCTATTAATGGATAAGAACACATTCTAATCACAAGTTTGGGATGAAGCTAATGTTGGTGTTCATGTTAAAATTTACAGGATGTTTCTCACCTACCATTGTGTAAAAATGTTAAGGAAAATTACTATGCAAATGATATCTCTTGTGAAACATATGGCTGCAAGCCTATAACCAAAGATCTGATATTTTCTTTTCACATTTCCTTAATTGGTCCAGGTTGTGGACGCGTAAAGAAAAGGAGATAGCTGTTGTTAGCCACAGCGGTTTTCTGTTTCATACCCTAAGTGCGTTTGGAAATGATTGCCATCCAACTGTGAAGAGTGAAATCTGCACACAGTAAGTATTCCTCTGGAGGGATTGCCTTATCTTTTTTATGAACAAAAAGAATAATAATAAAGGAGCTTTTTGTTTTCTTTTTAAAAAAAAATTATGTAATGAGCGTTGAAGGACCTTTGAAATTTGAATCCTTTAAGAAAAAATAAGAAATATAGAGGACTTTAATTTATTTACAGTTTCACTGTTAAAAAGTTTTACATTATTATCCAATGATATAATGTGATATCATTTAATGAATTTGACGGTACTTGAAATGTCAAACTCATTAAATAATGTAACAACTCATCACTGGTTAGCACTTTAAAACTTTTTTACATTATCAATAATCAAATATTAAGCTACTAGGATTGATCTAATGGTGAGAGATTTAGGTAGTCTGTATTAGGTTGTGTTCAATTTCCACTTGTATATATATAAAAATAAAGTAATCAAAATTAAATTTAATATAAAATGGAAAAAGATCATGGCTTCATGATATATTGTTCGATTATAATTCAGGTCAAGTATGCTCATCTGACTACTTTTGATATATTGAGTATTGACTAATATTTTCATATCTATCTTTTTTTTTCTGCATTTATTTAATAATCTTCACTGCACGTTTGAAAAATTTACGTAGGAAAAAAATAAAAAAGGAGGGAATTGCACTTGAGGGATATTCTTACTCAACATTGTTGAACAACATAATGTAAATTTTTTAAAACTTAGGGTTAATTTGTTGTTCCCTTAAAATTGGAGGTGAAAAGTAGTTTTGTACAAAAATTTGTATGAAAAACTTTTCTCTGAACTAATTAGTAAAATTTTGCGTTTCTTTTTGAACAGCTTTGCTAATTGTGAGCTACGTTCAGTGGTTATCGTTGATAGAAGGTGACCATTTTATTTACTGAACTTAAACTCAAGGTTCTGCTGAAAATTCACTTTTGAGCTTCGTTTTTGCAGTATGATTGGATCAGATGAGTCCTCTACCAACTATCCTGGCAAAATTCCACACGGCCTTGACCTTCCTAGCGATGTTGCTGACGAGAAACTTCCTGGGAATGGGCACGCAAAGTAATAGTTCCCTGCGTAATAACTGACAGTATGTTACATGAGAAAATTTTCTTCGGTTATGTGATTTCCTAATTGCTTTTATTGGTTTTACCGACGCCAAACACAGCTAGGTGCCAACTTTTTAGGATGAAAAAAAGGACGATGACAACTAATACTGTGTTTTAGCATTCATTAATGGCTATCAATTTTATGAATGAAAAATAGACATTATTTTCTTTTTCATTCCCGGTTCACGCCTTCTCATGATATATTCTTAACCTCTGACCCCTTTTCACCACAGAGAAATATCATTATGAAAGTCTGATCCTTGGTAAAACTAAATTTGAGATCGTGGATTAAGAAATTCAATAAATTGTATATTTTTTGGGCTTGTTCGGCTTTCAACATGCGAAAATAAACCACTTTATACTGATTTTGTGACAAAACATAGACAGGAGTTTGTTTTTGGGGAAAAAGAAATATAATGTCACTGAAAAATTGTTAGGTTATATCATAGAGATATAGATTGTGGGACCAACACTTATTTTGTTTTTTAAAACAAAACAACTGTGATTCTTTCAATCTCTATAACATAACTTAACAACTTTCCTTATAATATTATACTTCTATTTCCCTTGTTTTTATATATATTTTCTTTTAAACATTAACAGGGGTATCTTTGTTTAGTTAGAGTTGGAAGTGAGTCAAGCCAGCTTGTGATCATACTCCTTATTCAATTCATTAAAAACTTGGTGAACTACAATTTTTGACTTGTTTATAAATTGTGAGCTAGATCAATATAAAAGTTATAATCATTTTTTAATAATAACACGAATAATGCTTTATTTTAATATGAATTAAAATTTAGTTTATTTTTTGGGAAATATAAGAATCATGTTGCAGGAATGACACTGTTCATTCCTGCAACAAGGATCTGTGTCCGTATCTTAAGGATACGGCGTTGTATCCTGATTTTGGTCTGACTTTTTTTTTTAAGCGTGGGACCCACACTTGATTTGTGTGTGCAGGAAAGTGGTCTAGTCATGTCACATGACAAAAAGCGAACCCTTATTTTTTTGGTAGAAACATTTAGTTTTATTTTTGATTTGATTAAAGGGTTAAATGTTTTTGCTTTTGTTGAAAAATAAAATTTCTGTCACATTTGCATAAAAAAATGGAGGAAAAAGTGTCTATCATTTAAAATTACACAACTTACATCCTTTCACTCTCACAAAGAAGCGGGACCCACACCTTTATTTTTTTTGTCAACTCTCTCTCCTACTTTATCTATCTCTTTCTCTCTCTTAAAATGACACAACTTTACATCCTTTAAAATTATACACAATTTTCCCAAAAATGGGTGGGTCTCGTTATAGAAAGAAAATATTAATGGAAGTCACTAACTTTCATGTGAGTATAGCTAAAGCATAAACATTTTTCACTTGATTAAATTATCTTTTAACTGGACTTGTGTGGAAAAAATACATAACGTTACTGCATTAAAATTTTGAACTTAAATACTACCCAAAAATTGAACTTAAATACTAACCAAAAATAAATAAACTTAATTTTTAATTTTTTTTTTTTTAGAAAATAGGTCTTATCAAATGAGTTTATTTATTTATTTTTGAAAACCAAAAAACAATTTTTAAAAACAGTATTTATACAAAAAAAAAAAACAGTATTTAAACAGGGCTTAGTTTTAAAAGATAGCACTTTTTTTTTCTGGCTCCAGAAGTGGAGAGACATCAATTGGATCTTTCATAGATAACAACTCCATACAATGATCTTTTAAAACCTACGAATGAAAATCACAAGTCAGAGGAATAATGTAATGTTTTCCTTGAAAAATACCCAGAAATAAAAATCAAAAGTATAAATTCATTACAACAGTGACAAGCTTGTAGAGGGTACCGGAGGAAAGTAGTTCTAAAGCATGAAAACACCGGTTGATGTAAATGTAGTCTTAAACTTGACAACGGTAAACAACGACTATCATTAAGTGAACTGTTCTAACTCTGTTACTTTTTGCTTTTGGTTTTCAGGAGTGTCCAACAACATTACCATATTATTTTGCTTCTCATAAGTTGAGTAGCCTCTGTCCTCTGCCATTATGTTTTACATTTGACAATAAAAAGCATGTTATTCAGACCCCTGAACTCATGCACATGCTTAAATTCAAGCATACTTTATTTGCAAAGCACCAGGGTAGTACCAGGCATGAATAAGTAGTTGTTCAAAGGCTCGGGATAATATATTATTTTGGAATGAAATATCCCAAATCAAAAAAAAAATTAATCTCTTCAAGCCAGGATTATGTCTCTTTATATACCTGTGTAACTATCAAATCTAAACTCCTAATCACCTAAAATCTTTTTTAGCAACAATACATGCAATGCAAAATGATCCAACGCAGGAATAGTTGACCTTCAAATCAAATCAAACAAGCAAAACAAATTCGGACGCAGAGAGAAACCAAACCTATACTGCTTCACTACAGAAATGGAACAAACCTCAATAGTTTCAGAAGGCTGCAAGTAATCACACACATACGCCCCTGCTAACCATGGTGCAAAGACACTTCTGGGAAATGGAAGAGTACATCCTTTACTGTTAAAAAGTATGATAAATTCAATCAAGTGTGACAAACCAGAGCATCAGAAGCCAAAATAATAAACTATATCAATTATCATTTATGAATTGACGTGATTATCACTTTTATATGTTTATGGTGGCATAGCTCGATCCACGGGAGAAACTATTGCAACCTAATAAAGTTTGAGAATATCTACAAGCATTTCACCCCAAGTAAATAGGATAGACCGTGCGCCCAATAACCCTAGCTAAAGTGGCAAGTCCATTCAGAAAGTGCATGATCCCGGGTTTGAATCCCATTTACACTTAGGGTGTGTTTGGTACAGGAGAAATTTTTTGGTGACCGGGAATCATGATTAATGGGAATTCAATAGAAATTGAGTTTACTTGGAATCTTACGAAAGATGTGTTTGGTTCGCCAAAATATTACCGGGAATACTGGGTAAAAATTACTGATTCCATATTTGGTTTAGAACGAAATGTGACTTGGAATATGAGGTTATTTTACAAAAATAACCCCAAACTATTTTTACTTTTGTAATTGATAGATTGGGTCTAGATTTTTATGTGTATTGGGGTATTTTTGTCTCAAAATTTATTGTTGTGCTTTCCCTTTACTTGGTATTCTGATTGGTATTCCGAATTACCATATTATTTTTGGTAATCTGAATAGTGACTTTTCTTTATAAATCAAATTACCGGTAATCCTTGGATATCCGGGAATCGTAATTTATTCCTTCTACCAAACATGGTAATTACATTTACCAAAGAAGGATTACCGGTAATCCTCTCCAAAAACTTGAACCAAACACCCCCTTAGGGAGTATTTAGTAGAGGAGAAATTTTTTTTTACTAGGTAATCGCAAGTCCATTGCCTCCGCTTTAGCAATCAAATCACTTGAACCTTGTCACTAGTCTAACAAAAAGAACAAAAACCTAGGAAATCATGAAAATATAACCTGCCTAAATGGCTAATCAGATCTCCCAGGAAAATTCAATGAAGGTGCCAGATTTCCTAGTGTATGAAAATGTGTTAATAGGGTTCATGCATCAGAGAATATAGTCGCAACAAAATAAATAGCTGAATCATTCAGAACCTATTTTAAACCAGGGGAATAGCATAGTAACAAGGTTCTAAGAATAAAATAGCTGTAGGTCTTTGAAACAACCCAGGGATAGATGATAGATCTCACTGCCTAATTACACCAGCTTAAAGAGATAATTCCATTGAGTAAGAATTCAGGTCAGAACATTACAAAACACACATAAGATGAAGTGTCCATGTCATTACTAAACACACCTCACAGTAGCTGATGAAAAAACTTAGAAGGCAAGGAACCATCTTATGGCATTACATGAGGAACCAGCATAATCTCTTGGTAATGAGAAAAAATTGACGTATATCAATGAGCAATATATAGATATTACAATTAGCCATATTTCCGATATATCACTTCGTTCTATAAACCCATGAGAAGGTGTACCATCAAATAACCATATTTCATGGCAGATATTACCAAAATAAATGTCAAACTTAAGACAGCCCTTGAATAAAAGAACACAAGTTTCATCGAAAAATAATGAATGAATAAATATGGATAGATATTGACACCTTTATATCAGTGATGGCTTGTGAAATTTGCTCTTTTGAATTCAGATATGCAAAAGAACATATTGAGCCACTAAAGGAAAGAACGCCAACAACATCTCTTTGGCTGCATGCTTTATAAAATATTAACTGTTAATGTTAGAAAATAAAAATTTAAAAAACTGGAAAAATTGTAATAGCAATAATAACCTGAATACTTATAAGAAATAAGATTGTAGGCAAACATACCTTAAACAAAACTATTATTCAGAAATGGTAGAAGCAATTCAACTTCATGCACACCATCTGATGAGCATGGCTCGCTATCAACAACCTAATAAATTTATCCAGAAGAAATAAATTTCTAACAAAATAACAATAACAGAAGGGATTTTATGACAAATTGTAATAAAAAAGAACTTTTGGGATAATGAACAGATAATTTTATATCAGGGGTAAAAACAGATGAGACCTTGTGTATGCAGAAAATCCTCACTGTGAGACTCACTTACCAATGCTAGGTAACCTACCCGGGTCAGATTGGATATAGTCGGAGCAAAGTCCCGAAACCAGTGGAGCAATCAAAAAAAAAAAAAAAAACAGATAATTTTTTCACTAAAGAACAAGCCTACGTCCTGTACCACAACTTGAAGATATAGCTAAAACTAAATGTATGCTCTAGCTAGCACATTAAGTGGGAACAAATTTGGCAATGTAACCATTTCTATATAATATGAATCTTTAGTGCATCTCTAGATAATCACCAAACAGAATAGAACCGTGCACTCGAGCAGTAAGCAACATGAAATTCATATTAATTAAGTCTTATAGATTGTATCCATATGTCTTGCACGTGAAAATCAGGGTTAACCAATAGGCTACATGGTATTCCTGATTGAATAGACAGAAATCCCCGATTGAAAACACATTTTGGACACCCAAAGCTCCCTCCAAGTCCTTTTTTAAGATAGCAATGCTCAATAGGATCAATACTAATTTTTTTGTAACCCGATGGATTTTGATGTGTGCTTCAAGTTCAGAGATAACAGCCCATTTAACTTTACAGTGTCCGTTTACCAAAAAAAAAAAAAACACTTTACACTGTGTCCTGACAATGACTGCATTTGGATTAGGTTCTTTTGATTAGGTTCTAAATAACTTTACAGCCCCCTAAAGCTTGTGGCTATCAACGTTTTCAGAGCCTCGCCGCGCATCCCAACGTTTTCCTCATTTTCTTTGCTTCTCTTCTTCGTTAGGTACTCCTCCTCCTACTCTCTCTCTCTCTCTCTCTCATTTTTTTCTTCCGCCATGTGAATTCTCATTCACGTTTTCGATGAGCTTTGCTAGAAATTAATCACCTCCAAAGTTCTGAGGATTAGCTTTCGATTACTTTTACGACGATTCCGTGATCTAATAGGTATGGTGACACGATAATTAGTATTCATTTGTGAGAAATTGTTCGTTTCCGATTATGTAGGAATTAATGGCGCCACTGCTGTGGATCTAGCCCTTTTTGAAATGTAGTAGAATCGTCGTCTCAGTTTCTACTTTCTTTACTAACGATTGACGAGCATGAAGGAAATCTTAGATTTATGCGGAAGCGGTTTAGGACCTAGTACATTGGTATGCTTACCGAATCATCTTTGTTTCACAATTACCTCTCGGTGCGCAGGTGTCGTGTAGAATCTTCCCTTGTAGGATTCCTCTTCACGAACAGCTCACCTTAGCGCCGCAGCACGAACAACCTCCTTGAAGCTGGACTGTGGCAGATCTTCCAGACTATCTCTCGAGGAGGATGACATGGTTGTGTGGGCAACCGTTCAGATGATGAACGTCTGCCTCTTGGGGTTTGTTTCTGATGATCTATTCACTTGGAGGCACAAGAGGAGAAAACCATGAATATATACGCTTAGGTCTTAGACATAACTCAACCCTAAGCCTCATGGGCTCAAGTTTCACTGAAGCCCAATAGGACTTTAGTGACCAAAAGAGCATATATCCAACAATCTCCCACTTGCTCTTTAAGATACAAACTTGAGTTCGTAAACCCAAGACCATGTAGCCCATAAGCTATCATCATCTGATAATATACCTCATCCCTTGTCTCGAGCTAGCCTGGGGACCTACCATTTGTCATTGATCAAGGCTCCTGATAATCTTTACAAGATTATCTAATTCGGTGCTACTCCACTAAAAACCCGAACGTAAACTCCAAGATTAATGACCTTTATAACATTAATATGCATTGCCCCTTTATAGAATGTCTATAATTCATTGATTAGTTTTCTGTAACCCAATCAATTATTTATTCCCTTGACTTTGATAATTTCTCTAATGGATTACATGCACTGGCCAGTGTCTTTAATATCCAAGTACCGAAATATATCAAGGGGACATTTCCTATAAATTCCTTGTTGTTTATCTCATAAATACTGATAATCAAATAATCTCACTCCCAAAACACCGAGTTATTGGCCATCAAAAGATCGGACCTCACCCGTTGGTAAATCAAAGAATGAAAACTATTTGATTACCTATTTATAATAAACTCAGGATTAAGAGCAATCACATAACTATAGTTAACTGGAGATTTGATACCTTATGACAGAAAAACAACCTTAATCAAATCTCTCCTTGATCCTTTCAATGTGAATGTTAATTCACACCAATATTTTACAATGATTCGGACAAAATCACTTCATAAAATATTGCAGCCTGAATGAAGTGCCCAACTTTATTTAATGGCTGTGACTCCATTCATCAATTGTGAGATCCTATGATCATGTCCTCCATGAACGTATCCATATGATCATATACTCCACAATTTGATCCGGACCTTTATGTTTGTAAATAGTGCGCAAAATAAATAAATAAAACCTTATTTATGAAATTCAGAAAATTATTTTTTTGTTTCATCGTCTTACTCCAAGAGCACAATGAAACCAATAACTCCCACTTGCTTAATGCAAGTCTGGGATCCTCCTAAGACCCAAAGAAGTAACATGCCTCTCGAACACAAGTTCAGGCAAACTCTTAGTAACTGGGTCTGCAAGATCCACCTCTAATGCTATCTGAGTTTAGTGAAAAACTCATAGCTCGAGGTTGATTTTCTTGAGTCAATATCCACTTGAAATAACTGAATTTTTGAAAACTCAGCTTTTCAAGACTCCCAACCAGCATATAATCTCTCGTTCTCCAAAGATACTTGAGTACATGCTTAACAATAATCTAGTATTCCTCTAGGTTCAAAATGGTACTATCTCACTACTCCCACTGCGTGACAGATGTCTGGTTTAACGCCCAACATGATATGCGTGAGTCTACCTTTGCCAAAGCATAAGATATCTTGCTTATGCATTCTTCCTTCTTAGAAGTCTTTAGTCACTCCTTAGGAAGATGAATTTCACATCTGAGAATTATAATTCTTCTCTTAGAATTCTCATGTTGAATTTTGGGTTTTGTCATGTAAGTAGCCTGAGGTGATGCCAACAACTTATTCTTCCGGTCTCATAAGAGTTTTATACCAAGAATATAATTGGCTTCCCCAGTACTTCCATACCAAAACACTAACTTAGCCAACTCTTTATGCTTGATATTACCTCCACATTGTTTCTAATAAGGAGCATATCATCTACATAAAGTACCAGAAAAGCTACTGTCTTCCGTTGTATCCTTTACATACAAATACACATCATTCATCAAGGTTCTCTCAAAATCAAAATTTTGATAACCTGATCAAAACTGATGTTTCAAGACCTGGATGCTTGCTTAAGTCTATGAAATAGACTTTCACAACTTGCATACCGTGTGTTCCTACTCATTTGCTATAAACCCTTTTGGTTGTTGTATGTAGATATCCTGACATCCAACTCCCAAAATGAAATCTCATAATTGAGACTTATAGCAACTAAGAGAATCTGGATAGACTCAAGCATGGCGTCTGGCAAAAAATGCCTCCAAGCTAGCTTTGAAGGTTTTCACCTTTCTGTCCATCCTCTCTTTGCCTTTTATGTCCACATGCACCTTGTGGGTTTTACCCCTCTTGGTGTATTTACTAGGACCGAACGGAGTTGAAATACAAGTATTTCATCTCATTGTTCATAGCGTGAGCAACACTTGATCAACAACATCTTCTAGTGTATTATCGTAACTAGTAGGATCAATATCACTCAACAAGAGACAACTTGAGAGTTAACAAGGTTCTCTCCTACTACGAATGTACTGCACTAGACCTTGTGTATTTATAGGTAAAACAAATAGTGGGTCAAATGATGGATCTTCAATTTCTTGAGGATCCGATTATCCTTGATATTGTTCCTTTACATGTGATACTAATATTTCTACTAGTTTCACTTATATATTATCATGTTGAATTTCCAATCATGGTTCTCTTGTTTGTTCACTTAGAGATATCTATCCCCTCTTGAACAATCAAGGGAACAATGGATGAAGCTTCTAGAGATTCTGGAAATTCTTGATCTGAGATAAATCTCATCAAGAATAACCTAACTTAAGAGCTTATAATTTCTTATCTAGTCCTCCTTTAAGAAAATCATGTGAGTGCTCACTTAGATTATCTTGTCCTTAAGACTAAATAAGAAATCATCCCTAGTTCTCTTAGGGTAGCCAAAAGATATGCACACTTCCATACAAGATTCCATCTCATTTGACTGCTGTTGTAGGACGTGTGTCGTAGCACCCTAAATTCGAATATGGTTTGATCTGGGCTTGCACCCTTTCCATAATTCTTTAGGTGTCTTTACAACAAACTTTGACGGAACCAAGTTAAGAAGGTACATTTCCTTCTCTTAGGCATCTCCCTTGAACAACATTGACAAAGATGAATAACTGAACATGATCTTCACCAAGTCTAGAAATGTTTGATTTTTGCATACTGCAACTTCATTCAACTAATGCGTTCTTAGAGTTGACAGTTACGAAAACTATCCCCTCTTAAATCAGGTAAGACCTGAACTTACCAGACAGGTAGCCAACACTTTAGTCAGACCAAAGTGTTTTTGATTTGAACACCTACATGTTTTTCTGCCTCAGACTTAAACCTCTTGGAAATTTCCAGAAGCTTTAGACTTATGGCGCACTTGGTTCATCTGTCCCAATCCAGAGTAAACATTCATATAATGAAGTACTCATCACCTCTTATGGTCTGAACGCTAAGTGGTCCACATACATTAGTATGTACCAGTTCCAGTTGAATAGTTGCGCAAACCTTTTTGGCCCTTGTAGGATTGCTTGGCCACTTTACCTTCCAAATAGGACTAACATGTAGCTGTTAGTTAAAAGATTCTTGAACTTTCAGTATCTCTTTTAACTAAAACATATTTTCTACTTGAGATAATGTGACTCAATCACAAAGGCCAAAGTTATGTTTCATTTGAAACTTTTATTTCTTTGGTGAAAATCCTTGTTCATCATCCTTTCCATTCAACATAACAAATTTAAAAAGGTTATAGGACATAGGTAATAAAGACTATTTAAACAATGTACCAGAACAAACAAGACGAAGATGAACTTCGAAATGTAACTGAGGAATCAATTGCATTGTCAACCCATGTTTTAACCAAAACAACTAACAAAAATTGAATTCCTCTTGAAATCTAGAACAAATAAACAGTCACCCAAAACCATAGTCTTATAAATAACTTGTCTTACTGCAAATGCAGACACAAGTTCCCATTTTCAAGCTTAAAATATCTATGTCCATTGCTGACAGGTATGCCATGTTTGAACTACTACAAAGAGTAACAAACATAATCAGTGATTCCTGAATCAATAATTCATTCACTGATCAGGCCTTGATATGCCCATGTCTGGTTCTTTTCATCACCTCTGGGCAATTTTTCTTTCAGTGTCCCTTTAGTCTGTACTTGAAGAACTTGCCTTGCGGCTTCTTCATAGCAACTGGTTTGACAACTGATAACCAAGTCATTTTGTTCTTGTTACCACCCTTGGGTTTCCCTTTGGATTTAACAAGACTCTTAGCAAAACCTGCACCGACTGCATTCTGTCTAGCAGAGCTGCTAGACGCAGCAAACATGTCATTAAGAGTCTGAAGCATTTTTACTCCACTCTTAATCATGTACACTTGCTTCTGCAAGTATTTGGAAAGACTGACAATAATATAGCAACGAACTACCATATCTGCCCTTTCTCAATCTGAGAAATGCATCTTAGTTTCCTTAAACGCTTTCTCTGCAGGTTGCTATGGCCCTCACATTGTCAGGACAAATTTTAGCTTCCATGTTTTAGAACAATATCAAAGATTTGCTTTTCACTTATTCATAGTTGGTACCATCTAGAGGTTTTCGACTCAAAATCATTTCTAAGATATTTTCTGAAAAACATATAAAGCACACAATTACAGACGAATGCAATAAACAAACGAAATGCAAGTAGATTCTCATAACTACTCTTGTTTATTGTTAACAATCCTTCAGTTTATCTTTACAAGGCTTACGATGGGCAAGTCACTTGTAAAAACCAAAATTGTTATTTGGGCCTTCAGTGCCATTGCCAGAGCCTCGATGGGAGGGTTAACAATTTTACCAAAGTTGAATGTAATTAACCATTGTTTAATTTCAAAATTATCCTTAGTGTCTAAGCATTGCCGACGATGGGCCGTACAATACTTTACTAAAATTTTGAAATTATTAAGATTTAATCTAGTGAAATCTGATTATCCTTATCCGATGGGGCTTCAGCGATAACCATTTCACTAATAAACCCACAAATGGAGCCCGCAGGTTTTAAAATTAATTAATTTTTAAAACCTTCACCCATTCAACATTTTTGTTTGAGAATTTTCATAAGCCCAGTCGAATTCATTGTTTAATTTCAAAATTATCTTTAATAACTTAGTATTATCGACGATGGGACGTACAATACTTTATTAAAATTTTGAAATTATTAAGGCCCAATAAAATCCAATCATGCTTATCCGTTGGGGCCTCACATGATTATTTTATTGATAGGCCCACAATGCGCCTGGAGGTTAAATTAATTTCTTAATTTAAATCTCCTCCCATAGATATTTAAGTCCAATCTAATAAAATCCAATCATGCTTATTCGATGGGACTTCACATGATTATTTTATTAATGGTCCTATAATGCGCTTGAAGGTTAAATTAATCTCTTAATTTAAATCTCCTTCCATTCAACATAAGCAACATTTTCTAATTTCCAAGAATTATTTAATTGAGAGTATCCTTTGTTTGATTTCAAAAACTATATAAGTAAGAGCGCCGATAAACGTGCACTAAGCTTAACATAATTTTGAAAGTATTAAGGTCCTGAAATCCGGTCACTTTACGTCAGCGTGTGCTCCAAACAATCATGATACATGAATGTTGTATGCAGCGTGTGTTATTCCATGACCATTTCAGAAAAACCCACAAATTACTCGCAAAATAAAAGAATTCTCTCAAGAAATTTTCTCTAATTATTTTTCTAGATTTAAATCATCCAAATAGCTGACTTAATTATTAATCTAGATTGCAACAATCATAATAATTATCATTTATGAGGATAATTTGAAATCAAAATAATTTCCATAACGATTATTTGTCTTGATGTTAATAATCCAAAATTAATTAATTCAATTATTAATCTAGATTTTTAATAAAAATCATAATAATTATTAATTAATTTCTTAGGATGATTTAAAATCAAAATAATCCTATAATAACTATCATACTAGTCGCTGAAGACATAATAGCTATTATGCTCATGCAATCATACAAGTTATGCAACAATATGGCACCACCTATTCTATATGGCATGTTATCGCAATAAAGCATGTTATCTATCATATAATTTATACCAATCAATAAAAGCATTAAATAATAAATCATAATTACTTTAATCCATGGCCTTCCTATTTTAAAGAAAATAAAATAAAATAAAATAAAATAATACAACTTTGGAATTCAACTTTCGCCTAGCCCATAGTATCTGTCTCAAGCCCCTTTAGGGTTTCATGGGCCCAAAAGCCCAAAGACCCAATCCTTTGGCGAGAAACCCTAGGACGCGAAAGAGGAACCCTAGCCGTCAGGTCTGCCGCGCCGTCACCCGAAGTCAAATCAGGCTGAAACTCCAGGGGAAGGACCGCCATGTAGAGACGAGTGCACCGCCGCCGGAACCACCCAAAAAGGTGGCCGGACGCTCTCTCACTCTCCCATTCTTTGCCGGAGAGTGGCGGCCACTCTCAGAATCTTGTGGAGGTGCGTGGAGGCGCGTGTAAACTCAGATGGCGTTAAGCCACCCACCGTTGCGTTCGTCTTTCCGTCCTCTTTCCAACCATATATAGATCGCCTCATTCCGAGATCGGGAAGACCTCGAAAAATCTCCGACAGTACTGACTGCGCATCTTACTCGCGGTTTCTCGATCTTGAACTTTTACAAAATATTGGAAAAATACACGGAAATTCCAAAAATAAACAAAAACAGCAAGGAGGAAACCTAATCATATGGGATTAGCCTCCTTGTTACAAATCGAGAAATACACGAGAGATCCTAACCATGGATTAAAGCATTTTTACCGATTAAAATTTAAACTTTTATGAAAATGAATTATAAAATACACATGCTAGATTCATACCATAATCCTAGAACCCTAGGTGCCACATTTCAAGAAGCAAAACTAATTACATGAATAGTGAAACTAGATTCACATACCAATGTACAGCCAAGGCTCTGATACCAATTGAAGGAAATCTTAGATTTATGCGGAAGCGGTTTAGGACCTAGTACATTGGTATGCTTACCGAATCATCCTTGTTTCACAATTACCTCTCGGTGCGCAGGTGTCGTGTAGAATCTTCCCTTGTAGGATTCCTCTTCACGAACAGCTCACCTTAGCGCCGCAGCACGAACAACCTCCTTGAAGCTAGACTGTGGCAGATCTTCCAGACTATCTCTCGAGGAGGATGAGATGGTTGTGTGGGCAACCGTTCAGATGATGAACGTCTGCCTCTTGGGGTTTGTTTCTGATGATCTATTCACCTTGGAGGCACAAGAGGAGAAAACCATGAATATATACGCTTAGGTCTTAGACATAACTCAACCCTAAGCCTCATCGGCTCAAGTTTCACTGAAGCCCAATAGGACTTTAGTGACCAAAAGAGCATATATCCAACAGAGCATTCAAATTTTCTTGAATTCCACCTGTCTTCTTCTTTTTCTGCTTGTTCTTTTATTTCATTAATGTTAATAATAAATCAAATCCTGTAGTCATCTTTGGGCGTTATTGTTGTATGTTCCATGAGTATTGGCGCGTAATCTTCGATCTGCAGTATTCCTCATTGTTGCTGTTCTGTGTGTTGAGAATATAGAATCTTCTTGTGTGACTTTATGTGATCTTTTTATGCTTGCAAATGTTTGGTACTTTACATCTTTAGTTACAAATACTTATAAGCAAACTTGTGTGTGGTTATAGAGCCATTCTTGTCTTGTTCAAGGAGAAAAGATATGGGCGTGCAGTTTTGCTTTTATTCACTACTGGTTTAGTCATAACTTCATCACTCACACTTTCTTGATGGCTTTTCTTCCATGTCACTGCAGATATGGATACTACTGCAGGTCAAAGTCTTTATCCATTGCACCGTTGTAAAACTCTTCACCTGGTTTGTGGCAACTTCATCCTTGAAGCAGATTCTTATTCTTTTTGTTTTCCCATGTAACGGGGCTTCAATTTCTTTTCCCTACTTGTGAAATGGAATCCTAAAGCTTTTACTCACCTATGATTCGTAACTTGTTATATTGACTGATGTTACTTACTTATCTCATTCTGACTGATATTATAAAATGAAATTTTAATGTAAACCCTGATGTTCAAGAAGATTAGGAAGTGCATGAAATTTAGATGATGTGGGACAAAATTCCATTATATTTTAAGGGTGAAATGAATCATCATATAACTATAGGGATTCGTAGCTTGTGTATTGGAGTATGTTGTGCTTTGGTTCTTGAGAAGATCATTTGCTTACTTTCAACAGTATTAAGGTCTTATCCAAGCTTGTATACAGGTTAGACATGCCCAAGGATTCCACAACGCATACTTGTCTGATGATCTTTTTGATGCAAACCTAACCCCTTTTGGCTGGAAGCAGGTAATTGCCAGTCAAATTGATTGCTGTCATTCAGGATAGACTTTGTGTTTTGCAGAATTCTTGAGGTGTTTACACTTAGGAAATGGAAACATGGTGCTATAAAGCACCCACAATGCGCAGGTCCAGGGAAGAGTTATACTCATTAGGTGGGTCTATAATAGGATGTCTTAGCTGATTACATGATTCAAACTTGAGACCTCCGGGTCGCATGGTGACAACACCAACCGTTTTGCCAAGGATTTTTGTAGAGATTGGTAGTGGTGTTATGCCTCCGTATTTTCATAATTTGTTTCTCTCATCAGAGAAATATGTGTCAACAGTGATTATCTCTTCTAGCATAGATCTATCTCTAGCTAGTTCTTTCCCTCTTTTTTCCTGGTTAATTTTTTGTTATTTAAACATCATGCGGGAATATTTGTGTCTCTATGACAGGTTGATAATCTGAGAGAACGTGTTAAGTTAAGCGGTCTTTCCAAAAGAATTGAACTAGTTATTGCTTCCCCCTTGTTAAGGTATAACTTCATGTGATTAAGTCCTGAGACTTTTACTAGCCTCACTTTTTCAAGATTTGTTTCTTCTTTTACTGTTTCCCATTAAAATTGCTTATCTGACCAATGTCTAAAAGTTTTATTGAAATATACCAGATAGGCTGATAGAGATACTTATAGGTGGTGTGAGTTGAAACAAGACATGTTATGACGTGAGGGTATATACATCTGGTAACTTAAAAGGTAACAATTGGACTTGAATGAACATACATAAAACAACAGAAATTGGATGTGATTTTTTAAAACTGAAATGTTTTACTGATTGTTCAAGGATGATGCAGCATATTTTATGACTCTTGACCAAAATCCAACAGAACACAAATATTCTCTGAATATCTGACGTTACTTTTTGAATTATATATTGTGCTTGCTAGTCTATTATGTAGATATATTTTTTATATGTCTAACATCTATTATTTATTGTCTTTCAAATACGAGTGCACTATGCTTCTTAATGAATGGTTTATAATTTCTTTTCAAATTCTGAAAAGCAAGAAAAACTGGAAATGATACATTTGTGAACAGATCACCCTACCCATATAGTTTTATTTTCAATAGGTGGGGTTTTTACTTATAATAAGTATTGATCTTGATTTGGAGTTAATCCTTTTAGTATACAGTAGGAATTTTTTAGACATAGTTTTGTGGAGTTGTACCGCTATTTGCACAGAATAAATGTTTTGTATATTAGTGAACAAACAAGAGTCTTTATTTAGCTTGGGGGGAGGAGCGTTATTATAAGTTAAAATATCTAATTATTGCATTGCAGGACCATGCAAACAGCAGTTGGAGTCTTTGGTGGTGAAGCATACTCTGATGGGATTAATGTACCTCCTCTGATGAATGACAATGTGGGAGATAGTGGTCGCCGTGCAATTTCTAGTCTGAATTCCCCACCATTTATAGCAGTAGAGCTTTGCCGAGAGCATGTGGTATATAATGATGATGATTTTTTAGATGATTCAATTAACTAATTGTATCAATCATTCCTTTGCTTTCTTTCATTCTCTTAGTTCCTATCTCTGACTTCTTCTTTTTTCCCCTCTTAAAAGCTTCAACAGGGCATAGCATCAGTTATTAGGAAATATACCAGATGAATTACTTAAATAACATGGCCATCTACCTTGCCATCTTGAAACCTGCTTTTCAGCTTATTTAGGAAACTGATGTCAGGTCTTGTCGCTCATTTGCTGTTTGTTTGCTTGTTGAATTCAATAAAATCATTACATCAGCTTCTTGAGGAGCTGCTGTAAGGTCATACTTGCCTGTCCCAACTTTAGCCCATTTTATTTTTGTTCCTTAATCCAATTCACTTCATTTTGTTATATCTTTAACCGAGTTTCCGGAGTCTTGTTAAATAGTCTGAAGTTCGTTGATTCACTGCAGGATGAGGACATGAGGTGTGTGGTGGGCTGTTGGCTCCTTCATATTGCTTTATGTTCTGACTGTATAGATTTTTCAAATATTCCCTTTTTATTTTATTGAACAATTGGTGGAGGTTACTGGTTTTCAGCTTTTACGTGGCCTACAAACTTATAGCTAGTGACTAGATTAGATTAGGTTATAATGAGCTGAAAGGAGTTTCAAAATTGTGCGTGTAGTATCTTTTACATCCTCTCCTGCTGTTTTTAATGTCCTTTGACATTTCATTTCATTAAGTTTTTCTGTAAGGCTTGCTTCCTTTTTCTTTTTCTTTTTGTAATCCAGGGGGTGCTTCCTTGTGATAAGAGAAGAAGCATAACCGAGTACAAAAAGATGTTTCCAGCAATTAATTTTTCACTGGTACGTGATCTATTTTGATTAGCTCATAATATGCACTAACAGCTGCTGCGACTAAGTTTGTTCTGACTGATGCATTTGTTGCTAAAAGATAATCGAAATTTGGTTAGATGGGATTCATGCTTGGTATAAATTGTGTTTAGATAGAAAGTGATGAAGACATTTTGTGGAAACCTGACATTAGAGAGAAGAATGAAGAAGTTGCTGCCAGGGGGCTGAAATTTTTGGAATGGTGAGTGTGATTAAATAATTTATGTTTCATGTCAATGACTACGAATAGTTGACAAGAATAATCTTATCATTGAAAAGTAGGGAGAGCCAAAGAGGTTTGAGCGTTCTGAATTGAAAGGTTCATATTACTAACCTGAATTTTTTTTTAAATTGGTTGGATAAGGTTGCCTTTTTTTACCACTTTGCACTTACTATGATAATGTCAAGACATTCAGACGATGCATGTGGTTGCACAATTTGATTTTTATTTTTCCAGTGTGCTGTGTTGTATTATGTATTGGTGGCTTCAAATTTTAAGAAGGCATTTTGACAAGCATTTGCCGCAATAGAACTTATGAACCTAAAGCCTATTAATGGATACGAACACATTCTAATCAAAAGTTTGGGACAAAGCTAATGTTGATGTTCATGTTTATCATGTTAAAATTTACAGGATGGTTCTCACCTACCATTTTGTGTAAAAATGATTAGGAAAATGATATCTCTTGTGGAACATATGGCTACAAGCCTATAGCCAAAGATCTGATATTTTCTTTTCACATTTCCTTAATTGTTCCAGGTTGTGGACGCGTAAAGAAAAGGAGATAGCTGTTGTTAGCCACGGCGGTTTTCTGCTTCATACCCTAAGTGCTTTTGGAAATGGTTGCCATCCAACTGTGAAGAGTGAAATCTGCACACCGTAAGTATTCCTCTGGGAGGATTGCCTTAACTTTTTTATGAACAAAAAGAATAATAATAATAAAGGCGCTTTTTGTTTTCTTTAAAAAAAAAATTATGTAATGAGTGTTGAAGGACCTTTGAATCCTCTAAGAAAAAATAAGAAATATAGAGGAGTTTAATTTTGATTCAGTTTCACTGTTAGAAAGTTTTACATTATTATCCAATGATATAATGTGATATCATTTAATGAATTTGACAGTACTTGAAATGTCAAACTCATTAAATAATCCAACAACTCATCATTGGTTAGCACTTTAAAACTTTTTTACATTATCAGTACATCTAAATTAAATTTAATATAAAAAGGAAAAAGAGCATGTCTTCATGATATATTGTTCTATTATAATTCAGGTCAAGTATGCTCATCTGACTACTTTTGATATATTGACCAATCTTAACATATCTATCTTTTTAATTAGGATTTATTTAATTTTCACTGCCCGTTTGAAAAATTTACGTAAGAAAAAAAAATAAAAAAGGAGGGAATTGCACTTGAGGGATTGTAGAACAACATAATGTAAATTTTTTAAAATTTATGGATAATTTGTTGTTCCCTTAAAATTGGAGGTGAAAAGTAGTTTTGTACAAAAATTTGTATGTCATCTCTAAAATTTTGCGTTTCTTTTTTAACAGCTTTGCTAATTGTGGGCTACGTTCAGTGGTTGTCGTTGATAGAAGGTGATCGTTTTATTTACTGAACAACTTAAGCTTCTGCATAAATTTCACTTTTGAGCTTTATTTTTGCAGTATGATTGGATCAGATGAGTCCTCTACCAACTATCCTGGCAAAATTCCACACGGCCTTGACCTTCCTAGCGATGTTGCTGACGAGAAACTTCCTGGGAATGGGCACTCTAAGTAATAGTTCCCTGCGTAATAACTGACAGTATGTTACATGATAAAATTTCCTAATTGCATTTATAGGTTTTCCCGATGCTAAACACAGCTAGGTGTAACAGAAAAGAGAAGCTCTCATATCTGAATATTGAGATGAATTGATTAAAATGAAAAACTAATTGTTCTCAGATATTTAACAATATATATATGAGCTGAAATACACGCTCCAATGAATAATCAAATCTAACTAAATCCTAACAACTTATCAATCATAACTAATCGACTAACTGCATAATAACAGAATTCCCATTCTGTATTCTCTCATGATTAGTTGCACGTGCATATATTGATGAGAGTCCATGTGAACAAACCAATGCTACTGAGTGTGATATGGGCCTTGGACTGGACTTTAAGTCGTTGGGCTTTGGCTGATGATCGGTGGACTTGGGCTGATGATCATTATATTGTGTTACCCCCCCCCCCCCCCCACAAGATGGGCGTAGGATGTTAACAATGCCCAGCTTGGCAATCATGTGATGAAAAGAGGAGACTGGCAATGCCTTAGTAAAGACATCAGCAAGTTGAGCGGAAGAGGAGACTGGCAACAAGTGAATTAAACCGGAGAGAACTTTTTCACGAGTGACATGACAATCCAATTCAATGTGCTTGGAGCGCTCATGAAACGTTGCATTGTGGGCCAAGTAAATTGCAGATCGATTGTCACAGAACACCGAAGCTGGTCGAAGCCATGGAAGGTGAAGGTCATGAAAGAGGAACTGCAACCATTGCAACTCACAAGATAAGGCTGCAAGAGCTCGATACTCTGCCTCCGAGGATGAGCGTGACACGGTGGACTGCTTTTTGGAGCGCCATGCAATCATAGAGGAACCGAGGAACACACAGAACCCTGTGATGGATCTGCGTGTGTCAGGGCAACACGCCCAGTCTGCGTCAGCAAAGGCACGCACATGAAGGTCATTTGCAGAAGAGAAAAACAAACCAGCACCGGGGGTGAGTTTGAGATAACGCAGGATGCGATGAGCAGCATTCAAATGATGATCGGTGGGATTGGAGACAAACTGGGAAATCTGTTGAACGGCAAAAGAAATGTCTGGTCGTGTTGTGGTCAAATATAATAAACGACCAACAAGATGACGATAAGGAGCTGCATCAGGTAAGGGAGTACCCTGAGAACGACTAAGTCTGATAGAGGGATCCATAGGAGACTTGGATGACTTAGAACCCAATAAGCCAGCATCAGAAATCAGTTCAAGAACATATTTGCGTTGGTTAAGAATTATGCCAGCTTTAGAGCGAGCAACCTCAAGTCCTAAAAAGTATCGCAAGCTGCCAAGATCCTTGATCTTGAATTGATTATCGAGATGAGACTTTACACGGTTGATTTCAGTAAGTGAATTCCCAGAAAGGATGATATCATCAACGTAAACCAGTAAAACCGTGAAAGAGTCAGTAGAAGTGAATGTAAACATTGAGTGATCAGCAGTACCTTGCTTGTAACCAAGGGAGAGAAGGGATGAGGAAAGTTTGGCATACCATTGCCTGCTAGCTTGTTTCAAACCGTAGAGAGACTTTCTGAGTTTGCAAACAAGATTAGAAGAACCAGCAGGAACAACAAGGCCTTGAGGGAGACACATGTAAACTTCCTCATGGAGATCACCATGCAAAAATGCATTGTTGACATCCAATTGTTCAAGATGCCATCCTTTAATTGCAGCAACGGCTAACAGGGTGCAGACAGAAGTGAGCTTGGCCACCGGTGAGAAAGTGTCAAAGTAATCTACCCCTTCCATTTGGGTGAATCCTTTGGCAACCAAACGCGCTTTGTAACGTTCCACCGAACCATCAGCAAGATACTTAATCTTGTAAACCCATTTGCATCCAATGGGATGTTTTCCAACAGGTAAATCAACCAACGACCAAGTGTCATTCCTAGAAATAGCAGACAATTCAACCTGCATAGCTTTAACCCAATGATCATGCTTAACAGCTTGTGAATAACAAGTAGGTTCAAAGTGTGTGCAGGAACTAAGACAAAAGTTTTTGTAAATTGGTGAACATGTGTCATAAGAAATAACAGAAGATAAAGGATGACAAGTAGAACTGGGGTTAGGCAAACCTGGTACCGATGGATCATGCTGAGTAACTGAAAGACTGTGGTGATAGTCCATTAGGTAGGTGGGTATGATACGTGTACGAGAGGATCGTCGAAGATGCTGTTCAGAAGAAGATGCAGCAGGCTCAACAAAAGGTACAACAGGTTGAGCTGGACCTGAAATAGGTGCTTCATCTGAGGATATAACAGATAGAGGAGGATTGGTCAAAATGGGAAAGTCAAAGTTGGGGAAAGTATTGAGGTCAGAAGGTAAGATATAGGAGTTGGGGGTATCAGGATTGTGTGAAGTGGAAAAAGGGAATTCATGTTCATAGAATATGACATGACGAGAGGTAAAAATGGCATGAGAATGGAGATCATAAAGCAAGAAACCTTTGATGCCATCTCTGTAACCAATGAAAACAGACTTTCTAGCCTTTGGGGAGAATTTAGTACGATTGCTTTTAAGGGTGGAGACATAGCATAAGCTACCAAACACACGAAGGTGGGTGAGGTTGGGTGGTTGTCCATGAAGCAATTCAAAAGGAGATTTGTTTTGTGTGATGGGTGAACAAATGCGGTTAATGAGATGGACAGAGTGTGTCACAGCATAACACCACAGATTCAATGGTAAAGAGGCTTGAAAGCACAATGCTCGTGCCACATTGAGCAAGTGACCATGTTTTCTTTCAACCTTAGCATTTTGTTGGGGCGTCTCCACACAACTAGTCTGATGTATTACACCTTTTTGCAAGAAGAAATCTTTCATAAGAAACTCAGTTCCATTATCACTGCGAAACACTTTAATAGTTGTGTTAAATTGATTCTCTACATAAGCAAATAAATGGTGAATATTTGCTCGAGTATCTGCCTTAGTTTTCATCAGGATTATCCAAGTGAAGCGTGAAAAATCGTCAACAATAGTCAAAAAGAATCTGTGACCATGTATGGTTTGCAAACCAAAAGGACCCCAAATGTCTGCATGGATTAGATCAAAAGGTTTCGTGCTTTTGCTCTGGCTGATGGGAAAAGGAAGGTGTTTTTGTTTAGCTAAATGGCAAGTGTCACAAGGATGTAGTTGATGTAATGGACTAATAAAAGAGTACTGAGAAAACATTTTATTCATAATTGCATCAGACACATGGCCTAAACGTCTGTGCCATAACAGTGTGGCATCTGTTACATGAGTGTGACTATTACACTTGTGGTCACTTATTCCTTGAACTGTATTTCCTTGGGCTGAGGTCTTGTCATGGACTATCACATACAAGCCGTTCGATTGCTCAGCAGAACCAATCGTCACCTTGGTTGAAATCTGTTTAATATAACAGAAGCGGTCAAAAAAGGTTAGGTAGCAGTTAAGAGAATTTACCAATTTGGTTACTGAAATTAAGTTTACATGAAAACTCGGTACGAAAAGGACATTTTGCAAAATGAGATTGGTTGACAAAATAACAGAACCTGAGAAATGAGACATAACTTGTAAACCATTAGGCAAGTTTATAGTTATTGGATTAATTTTTTGAAGAGAAGAAAAAGAAGAACTCATGAAACTGATATGATCCGTGGCACCAGTGTCAATGATCCACTGAGTGTGTGTTATACCTGGAAGACTTGTGTCAGTGTGAGAAACGTGTGTGACATTGGCTGAGTGTGTAGGTTGGGTTGTAACAGTACTAGGAACTGGACTTTGAAGTAGAGAAATGATGTGTTGATATTGTTCATGTGAAAGTTGTGGATGGACAGAAGCAATATCATTCTGTGAAGTAGGATATGTTGAAGCATTCTCATTGAAATTTGCATTAGATGCATTGTTAGCAGTATGATTGTCTGAAATTCTGGAACGGTAGCCTGGAGGATAGCCGTGCAACTGATAGCAGGTCTCCACTGTGTGGTTCGATCTGCCACAGTGAGTGCAAACTCTATTGCCATAATTTCCTCTTCCTCCATTGTTCCTTCCACGTCCTCTACCATACCTGCCTGGATTCTGAGTGAAATTTCTACGGCCTCCATTAGCAGTTGCATTATTATTGAAAGCAACAAAATTCTGATCGTTATTTGAAACTTCATTATGTGATTCTGAGTTGAACTGTCTTTCATGTTGCACAACCATAGAAAAAACTCTATTGACATTCGGTAGTGGATCAATCATCATGATCTGTGACCGAACAGATGAGTATTGGTCATTAAGTCCTTTAAGAAAACGAATAACGTGATCTCTATCACGATAATCTCGTATCTTCAGCATTGCTCCACAGTCACAAGAAGGATCACATTCACACATAGGGAGAGGCTTTAGATTCTCAAGCTCATCCCACATCGTTTTGAGCTGAGTGAAAAATTCACTTACAGTGCGATTTCCTTGATAGATCTTATAGATTTCTTCCTGTAGATCTGACACGCAGAATATATCCGACTGAGAAAATCGATCTTTCAAGTCAAGCCAAGCATCTCTGGCACATTCAATCCATAATATGGATCTGGCAATTGAATCGGAGATGGATCTATGGATCCAAGCCATTACCATGGTGTTGCAACGTTGCCACTGGTTGTAAGTAGGATGATCAGTGGCTGGAGGTTCGATTGATCCATCAATTAGAGCAATCTTGTTCTTCGAGAGTAGAGCTACGGTCATTCCTCTCGCCCAGGTATGGTAATTACTTCCGGTCAAAGGTGGGGAAACCAGAATCAAAGAAGGACTTTCATTGGGATGCATGAACAATGGATGAGAAGGATTTGTGTGGAAATCCATTGCAAGATGAGGATTCGCCATTGATGATAACTAACCAAGAAAATCTCGAAGGCAGAGTATCAGAGCTCATTGTGAGCTCTGATACCATAACAGAAAAGAGAAGCTCTCATATCTGAATATTGAGATGAATTGATTAAAATGAAAAACTAACTGTTCTCAGATATTTAACAGTATATATATGAGCTGAAATACACGCTCCAATGAATAATCAAATCTAACTAAATCCTAACAACTTATCAATCATAACTAATCGACTAACTGCATAATAACAGAATTCCCATTTTGTATTCTCTCATGATTAGTTGCACGTGCATATATTGATGAGAGTCCATGTGAACAAACCAATGCTACTGAGTGTGATATGGGCCTTGGACTGGACTTTAAGTCGTTGGGCTTTGGCTGATGATCGGTGGACTTGGGCTGATGATCATTATACTGTGTTAAGGTGCCAACTTTTTAGGATGAAAAAAATGGATGATGACAACTAATACTCTATTTTAGCATTCATTAATGGCTATCAATTTTATGAATGGAAAATAGACATTATTTTGTTTTTCATTCCCGGTTCACGCCTTCTCATGATATATTCTTAACCTCTGACCCCTTTTCACCACCGAAAAATATCAATATGAAAGTCTGATCCTTGGTAAAACCAAATTTAAGATCGTTGATTGAGAAATTCAATAAACTGTACATTTTTTTGGGCTTGTTCGGCTTTCAACAAGCGAAAATAAACCACTTTATATTGATTTTGTGACCAAACATAGGCAGGAGCCCCCGGGTATCTTTGTTTGCAGTTAGAGTTGGAAGTGAGTTAAGCCAGCTTGTGATCATACTCCTAATTCAATTCATTAAAAACTTGGTGAACTACAATTTTTTACTTGTTTATTAATTGTGAGCTAGCTCAATATATAAGTTATAGAAAATAGACATTTTTAATAATAAGATATCCAACAAAGGTTTCTTCTATACATAAGGGTACTTCTAATCTTAAAGGAACCAAGCAAGATGAACCTTCGAACATAACAGAGAGTAGACCAAACAATGAAAAAGGGTTGGAGAGGGCTGTGTAAACTTCTTAAAACCTAGGGTAACCTTTGAAAAGAGAGGATATGGGTTAGGGCAAGAATAACATCGATTAAGTAAGAAGATAGAGAAGAACACGTGATGGATATCGAGTTTGTAAAAAAATTAACATACATGCTTAATTCTTGAAATTACATAATACAAGGAGGCTAATTGTAACAATTAAAAATACTGTGTGACCTTTTGAAAAATGTCTAAGTACAAGCGAGTAACATGTAATTTACCCAAAAATTTTATATGCATTAAAATTTAATTTACATTTTTGGTAGAAACATTTAATTTTATTTTTGATTTGATTAAATTATCTTTTAACTGGACGGTGGAAAAAATACAAAATTTTTACTACATTAAAAAATTGAACTTAATTCATTAAGCTTAAAATACTCAATTAATACAATTTTATGTTGATTCATTAAAATGAGTTAAAGTTGAGTTGAAAATAAATTTAATTTCTTATTTAGGTGAGTTTTCTTCGAACCTTAATTCTGGTATTTAGAAGAGCTAAGTGACCAAAACTCAAGCCCTATAGGATGGATGCACAGGCCAGGGTTTTGTTGCAAGTGAATGAAACAATTAGTAACCAGTTTTAAACCTTACTTCCTTTGGATAACCTCGGACTGTTGAAACTTCAAATATTTGAGAAGAAACGGACTATATATAGGTAATTAATGTAATAAAAAAATTAACTTTGGTTCAGATGTAATAAGAATTGTTCCTCACTACGGCAGAACTAATCCGCGATGCTACGGATGTGTACTAAGAAATGTTTTATATTATAGAAAATTTTCAATAATTTTGGTTTTAAATTATTTATTCAAAACGTAATCATGCAAAATTTATAAACTGTTATCATAAGTAAATTAATTTAAATAAAACCTCCTTAATCCACAAAAGCACGATTTTATTGTTCCGGTTGATTCCAGGTGAAGAGCATCAAAAAGCTAACAGGCCAGATTTTACTCAAGATTGAACTCCCCATCAACTACGAATGCAGTTTTGCAAACTAGGAAAATATGTGAATCCACGGTGGAGAAAAATTCTTAAATATAAAGCCCTCAACCCTTTAGGACGAAGAACACAAAACCAAGTAAGACAGAGAGTAGAAGGATGAGACCGGCAGATACAACATTAATGTGACCTGGCTTCACCGATTTACTACTAGAACTTTTCCCTCTGCTATCAAGCTTGCTCTTGTCTTCCATGAGGTGAATTTCTGAATGGGATGGCACTGCCACATCCCAGAAAGATTTAGTTTCGAAAGATAGCACTTCTTTTTCTGGCTCCAAAATTGTAGAGACATCAATTGGAGCTTTCATGGATAACAACTCCATACAATGATCTTTTAAAACCTAAGAATGAAAATCACAAGTCAGAGGAATAATATAATGTTTTTCTTGAAAAATACCCAGAAATAAAAATCAAAGTACAAGTTCATTACAACAGTGACAAGCTTGTAGATGCTACCGGAAGAAAATAGTTTTAAAGCATGAAAACACCGGTTGATGTAGATGTAATCTTAAAATTGACAACGGTAAACAACAACCATCGTTAAGTGAACTGTTCTAACTCTGTTACATTTTGCTTTCGGTTTTCAGGAGTGTCTAGCATTATCATATTATTTTGCTTCTCACAGGTTGTGTAGCCTCCTCCCTCTGCCATTATGTTGACATTTGACAATAAAAAGCATGTTATTTAGACCCCTGAATGCACATGCTTAAATTCAAGCTACTTTATTTGCAAAGCACCAGGTAGTACCAGGCATGTTAAAGTAGTTGTTCAAAGGCTCGGGATAATATATTATTTTGGAATGAAACATCCTAAATCAACAAATTATTAATCTCTTCAAGCAAGGAATGCCTCTTTATATACACGTGTAACTATCAAATCTAAACTCCTTATCAACTAAAATCTATTTTCAGCAACAATACAGGCAACGCAAAATGATCCAACGCAGGAGTAGTAGACCTTCAAATCAAATCAGACAGGCAAACAAATTCAGACACACAGAAACCAAACCTCTACTTCACTACAGAAATGGAACAAACCTCAATAGTCTCAGAAGGCTGCAAGTAATCACACACGTACACCCCTGCTAACCATGGTGCAAAGACTCTTCTAGGAAATGGAAGAGTACATCCTTTTCTGTTAAAAAAGTAAGATAAATTTAATCAAGTGTTCCAAACCAGAGCATCGGTAGCCAAAATAACAAAATATATCAATTATCATTTATGAATTGACATGATTATCACTTTTATATGTTTATGTATGGCGGCATAGCTCGATCCACTCGAGAAACTATTGCACCCTAATAAAGTTTGAGAATATCAACAAGCATTTCATCCCAAGTAAAAAGGATAGGCCATGTCCCCCAAAACCCTAGCTAAAGTGGCAAGTCCATTGGAAGAGTGCCAGATTTCCTAGTGTATGAAAATGAGTTAATAGGTTCATGCATCAGAGAATATAGTCGTAACAAAATAAATAGCTGAATTATGCAGAACCTATTTTAAACCAGGGTAACAGCATGGTAACAAGGCTCCAAGAATAGAATGTCTCAAGTGATCATGTGTATTAAGATTTTTTTAGCATAGCTGTAGGTGTTTGAAACAACCCAGGGATAGATGATAGATCCCACCTACAAAGCACCGACACTTCAAAAATCCTGACGTGTCCGACACTCCAACACACATTGTAGGGACTCAAAAAAAGGTTAAAGGTTACGTTGCGTTGCGTTTTTAGTTTCAATTATTAGATTCGTTTGATTACGATTACCATTTTATTGAGTTTAATATAAATATTTGGGAGATCATATTTTTTTTGCAAAATTGATGGATATTATAAGTTTAACTTCATTTTTTTGGTAAATTATTGAGATTAAATATAATATACATTACATAAATTAAAAATAATATTTAATATCAAAACGTGTCCTAATGTGTCGAAATCTAACATTTTTTAAAATTAACATGTCGGAGTGTCTCGTGTCAGTATCGTTGCTACATAGGATCCCACTTCCTAATTACACCAGCTTAAAGAGATAATTCCATTGAGTAAGAATTCAGGACAGAAAATGTAATAACCTTATAAAACATAAGATGAAGTGTCCATGTCATCACTAAACACACCTCACAGTAGCTGATGAAAAAACTTAGAAGGCAAGGAACCATCTGATGGCATTACACGAGGAACAAGCATAGTCTCTTGGTAATGAGAAAAAATTGAAGTATATCAATGAGCAATATATAGATATTACAATTTACCTACCTCAATAACGGCAGCAAAAGTTGGGAAACGGAATTTTCAGCTGATATCTCATTGTTTTCTTGCTTTCCAACATCATGATTGTTACCTGAATCACCATCTGCCTCATCACAGATTATATCCAATCTACTTTGCAGACTCATAATGATATCTCCCTAAGCACAGAATTGTGGACCAGGACAATATGGGACAAAATCGAGAAGAGAGGAAAGTCAGTGCAGTTTGAAGGAAGATTAGACAATCAATGTTTTCTACCGAAAAAAAAAAAAAAAATCATTAAGCAGGTAAGCCACTAGTTCAATGAGGTAATTTCAATAACTGTACCAATAAGCTACATCCTATTAAAATGTGGCATAATAGTACATTGCATTTCCGATATATCACTTCATTCTATAAACCCATGAGAAGGTGTACCATCAACTAACCATATTTCATGGCAGATATTACCAAAATAAATGTCAAACTTAAGACAGCCCTTGAATAAAAGAACATAAGTTTCATCGAAAAATAATGAATAAATAAATATGGATAGATATTGACACCTTTATATCAGTGATGGCTTGTGAAATTGGCTCTTTTGAATTCAGATATGCAAAAGAACATATTGAACCACTAAAGGAAAGAACGCCAACAACATCTCTTTGGCTGCATGCTTTATAAAATATTAACTGTTAATGTTAGAAAATGAAAATTTAAAAAACTGGAAAAATTGTAATAGCAATAATAACCTGAATACTTATAAGAAATAAGATTGTAGGCAAACATACCTTCAACAAAACTATTATTCAGAAATGGTAGAAGCAATTCAACTCCATGCACACCATCTGATGAGCATGGCTCGCTATCAACAACCTAATAAATTTATCCAGAAGAAATAAATTTCTAACAAAATAACAATAACAGAAAGGATTTTATGACAAATTGTAATAAAAAAGAATTTTTGGGATAATGAACAGATAATTTTATATCAGGGGTAAAAACAGATAATTTTTTCACTAAAGAACAAGCCTACGTCCTGTACCACAATTTGAAGATATAGCTAAAACTAAACGTATGCTCTAGATAGCACATTAAGTGGGAACAAATTTGGCAATGTAAGCATTTCTATATATTATGAATCTTTAGTGCATCTCTAGATAATCACCAAACAGAATAGAACCATCCACTCGAGCAGTAAGCAACATGAAATTCATATTGATTAAGTCTTATAGATTGTATGCATCTGTCTTGTACATGAAAATCAGGGTTAACCTATAGGCTACATGGTATTCCTGAATAGACAGAAATCCCCTATTGAAAAACCATTTTGGACACCCAAAGCTCCCTCCAAGCCCTTTTTTAAGATAGCAATGCTCAATAGGATCAATACTAATGATTTTTTGTAACCCGATAGATGTATGATGTGTGCTTCAAGTTCAGAGATAACAGCCCATTTAACTTCCCACTCCAGACACTAATTGCATTTCTTGGTTTTTTTGGTGAATGTTGGGTGTGCCCCCCACAGCTTGTGGCAGTACGAAGTTAAATGCGCTGCTATCCATACTTGTGTATAGCCCCGCTATAGCAGAGTTGCGTTGCGGTGCAGCGGCCGACCGCCACAGACCGCGCCACTACGGTCAGGCGGAGTGTAGCGGATGTAGCGGCCGCTATTGTGGCTGAATCGCGGCGCTATTGCTGCGCCGCTACAGTAGTTTCTGCAAAAGTGTTCTCGTCGTAGAAGGAAGGGATTTACAACCTAGATACAAGTGAAAGTGCAGATGAAGATTTGGATGTTCATGATTTCAATTATGATTAGTTCCTCAAGTTCTTTGATTTTAACATTTCACTTAATTGGCAGTTTAAATTTTGACTAATTTTGCCACTTTATTTTGTTGTGTTATATTATTTGAGACTTTAATTCCTTCAATTTGCTTATGATTTGAATTTTAATGTTTGAAATCATTTATGTTTGAGTTTGAGATCCTTCAAATTTGTTTTTATGTCACATTTTCATATTTTAAATTTTATATTTGTGGAGTACAATTTAGTGTATCACTTAGGTACACTTTGCACAGTAGCGTTGTAGCGCTACCCGCTATAGCAGTTTGGAGGGTCAGCCGCTACACGCCGCTATCTGATATTAATAAGTATGCTGCTATCAATGAAGTCTATCAAGCAGAAAAGGTTGTAGACATAGGGTTTACTCTACGATTTTGCTGGTCTCCTAAAATCTATTCCCATTTAACCACTGTGCCAGTCATACAAAATCAGAAAAACTCCAGCAAATTGCAATCTTATTGTAACAGCTTGTGTTTGAAAAGAATCTGGACATCAAATTTTGTACAGAATGCATTGATGCAGTCATATGCTAGTTAGACACTTAGACTTCTTACAGATACCTTTAACATCTATTAACACAATTTGTTCTAGATACTAAAGCTTTAGTAACATACCATAGAAAAGATGAGTCAACAATCAATTACTTGATCCTATTCTACAACAAAATAATGAGGTCTAAGTTTACTTCTGTAATTTAATAGTAACAGCTTCCTTCCAACTTCACTATCAACAACATTGCAGTATTTAGTTTCAGTTTTCATCAATGCTTATGAACTTAAAAGAGAACAATGCCAAAAATGTAACACTTATTGAATGTTCAAACAAACTCTGATGACAGAACTAATTTGGACCATGTATCAGCGCAGAAAGCTACTGTATCACACTAAAAATACATATTGTGGGAAGTAAACACAGCCAGGGAATTAACAATTTGGCTACTTATAACAGCTTATTTTTTTCTAAAATTGGGGAATCAAATTACTTCTTACTTCTGACTAAAGATAAGCAATAACTAGAAGCTAAAAGCAAAAAGATGAAATGAAAAGTGGGGAGTAGAGTGTACTTACCAATTTACCATCAATCAAGGCCTTTGCACATGTAAGCTCTTTGGCATGAATAGATATTGCATGACGAAGAACATCACTCATTGTCTTCAATTTTGATGCACTGTCATGCAATATGGGTAACCTTGCAAGACAAGACATAACATCATATACGAGAACTTAAATTACCAAAAGATTTAGTCAATAATTGAAGAGTATTACAAATTTGCGAGAATGATACCTAAGGTTAAAGCTGTGCATGCACCTAAATGTTTGAAGGGAACTCAAGACCTTTCCCATTTTAAAATCACAAGGCCGTAGACTACTTGATGTAATATTTGAAGATAGTGAGCAGTTTCGACAATTCCACCTACACTAACAGTAATATCATGAGTATCAATCACATCGAAAACAAAATCGATCATATAAATGATCCCTTTTGGAGAATAAGGATTCCACCTCCTAGGACTATAACAAATGTGAAGAAGCAGTCTTTCATCCCAGTCAACCTCCAAAACCGGTGCTGCTTCAGCAACTCCCTTCACTGTCTGCAAGAGAACATAGGGAAGAAAAAAAAATCTTGAATACCTAGAAAGCAACACAACACAACACAACATGTGAAGTGGCCAATTGGTAACAAACCTGGCAAAGCATGATGGTTGAATTCTTAAAAGCAGTATCACCAACCCAAATATATAAGCCAACAACCTTCATGCCACCCACTAGCATTCTAGATACCTTGAGAAAATACAATTACAATTACAATAAATAAATAAAAAAAAAAAAAAATCAACCTCATTACTTACTGTTACGAACAACAATAGTGAAGAGGAAAAAATAGAGTTGAGTTCAGAACCTGGCGAGCATGTTCAGCGACCCAATCCTTATCAATGAACAATGAAGAAGAGTCAGGGGGATTAGATTTGGATTTAGGAGGGTTTTTCTTGTTGGGGTCGGTGATGGAAGAAGCAGGTTCGCCAGAATCATTTTGTGGAGTTGGAACCAAATCGAAGATAAAGGCCCGGTCCAAACCGGAGCTGAACTTGCCTATTAGTAAACCCACCTCTGTTGGAAGCGCAGATTGGCTGAGACGATCCTCAACCGATTTGAGTCGCGTTTCTTCTCCAACTACGCCTTTCACCATCGCTCATCAACTGCTTCTCCACACATGGATGATGGGTACCGACCGAAGGAATCAACACTTCATAAATCGTGAACCCAAAAGCCCGGTTTAGCCCGTCGTGTTAATCCAGGTTTAGCCCGGTTCTCTAAAGTTTAGCCCACGTCATTTTGAGTTTTGACTATTAATTTTGGGTTTTTTTTTTTCATTTCACGTGGAAAATATCTCTCATGTTTATACACAACAAATGATAGATCCCATCATTTATTAAAAAAATAAAAAGAAAATATCAGGAATTTCGATACTTGTAACATGAAAAAGCAATCTCCAACAACATGAGAAAATAATCTTCCATTAATTTTAGAGAAAATATTTTCTCTCCCTGTAATAGAATTTTAATGATCTTTTGGTTTTTATTTTTTAATATATATGAGCCTCACGCAAAATATAATTACAACATGAAAAAAAATTCCTACTCATAAGAAAATTAAAACCCTTAATTTTATTACGTTTAAACATTAAAATAAAATAAATAACATATTATAAACATTTTATGATTACAATATGAGTTTGATGTTTGTCATTTAAAATGACATAAGTTATGTAACTTTAAAAGAGAGATAGACACATGGAATGGAAATACTAGGTGATTTTCTTTAAATTAAATTTTAAATCAAAAAATAAAATTATATGTCTATCTCTATCTTAAAATGATATAAGTTTATGTCATTTAAAATGACAAACATTTTTCCCTTACAATATTCAATTCATTATAATATAAAAAAATTGTGCACAATTTACTGTTTAGAATTTATAATCCTTTTATTTAGTTTTGTCTCGAAATTTTAATTGTCCGAACAATTTTCGTTTCAAAACTTTTGAAATAATAAACTTATTTATTGCAAATCAAGTAAGGAGGGGAAAATATTTCTCCAGATATATGATATAATGGAAACGGATCATTTATTTAACATAATTAGGAGAATCCTAATTATATAAAAGTAAATTAACAATGATAATGGAGTAATTATTTATTTTAATTTTTTCTTTCTTTTTTATCACTATTAATTCACCTGTATATAGTTATGAATTTCACACATAGATCCAGCATGTAAAAAAAATGGGCCTACTTTTTTTTTAATATTTTTTTTTTGGTAACTGATCCTAATTACCTCTTTGAAGTGAATCAGAATCTCTGGTATCTTCACGGTTTCGACTCTTTGAGCCGCCTATGGAACTAATCCAGAGTTCGGGTGCGAGTCCAAGAATTGCGGTACTTATGCCCCTCCCCAGATGATGTTGGTGGGATTCGAATCGATAATTTTTATTTTTTGTTGAATACATTGAAAATCAAATACAGCACCTACTATCCATTATTCATTTCCTCCAGCACTAGGCTAGTCCTAGTGACTTTATAACTTGTTTTTTATATAGGCTTTTTTAAAATTTAAATTTATTTTATTTAATTATAGATAATAGATCAAGCCTCACCTAACTTGATATAGGCTAGGATGCATGCCATGCAACCCACTTACACCCCTAGTGGGAAAATTTTTTTTTTTTTGGAAATATTCCATCGGTTCATCGCTTTGTGATTAGTCCGATTCGGGGCGGGTCCAAGATTAAGGCTTTAAACCCCTTCCAAAGGTGGTATTAGGAATGTTTGTCATGCAACTCACTTCCACTCAGTGTATCTATCCAATAAAAAATGAAGAATGTTTGTCATGCTTGTATGGAAAGAAGAGAAAAATAATTTTTTTGAGTCACTTGATGAATGACAAATGTACCTATGTACAGAAGATCTCCATAGTGGAATAAGTGATGCCAATTTTCTGAGATCCTTGTTTAATAAGATTCTGTCATCCAACAAATCGAATCGACTCAAAAAAATCATAAAATGTCGGATTTTATTGGTCTGTGTCACTTGAATTGGAATGAGTTACCCAAAAGTGATTGTGCTCTTTTTTTATCTCATTCATCGCGGTGGTTACACTGGCAGAGTTGGTTCAAAAATTTAGGTCGTGTCAAAAAATTTGACATATTAAATTATCAAAATATTTATCATAATTATATAAATTTATCAGAGAAAAAATTTACTATAAATTCTAACATAGTTATCTAAATTATGTACTAAATAATGTCACATAATATTAAAAATTCAAATGAACAATTATCGTTGATTATATATCAAAACAAACATATAAAAATGCACTAATCTTTTCGGTAAACATTTCAAACATAAGAATTTCACTTTTATCCCACAACATAATAAGTAATGAACCAAACATTATCCTAAAGTAAAATTTTTGTGATTAAGTTTAGAATAGGTCAACTAATTGTTTTTGTGATTAAGTTTAGAAGTCTTTTTTTTTTAAATAATAGGAGTAAGAATAAATAACATAACTGATTAAAATAAAGCAAAAAAAAACAAATATACAGAATAAAAAATAAAAAAAGGTAAAACACAAAAATAATCATAGTTCCTTATTATTTATTTGCATTTAGATGGTTTGTTGTTACTTTGTATTGAGTATTTGATTTTCTATTTAGGTAATGTCAAATTATAATTTTTACCTTAGTTAATTATAATTAATTATATAATAAGTAAAAAAAAAAAAAAACAAAGCAGCGCCAAGGCACCTGCCGGCTTGCTTACGTAGTTCTGCACATTATTGATTTTTTGGGCTTGAAAAGAATATTTTGAGTTTTAGATGGTACAATCGTTGGAACGTACCCTGAGAATTTTGTGAGTTTCTTTTTTTTGAAAACAGAGAGTTTTGTGAGTTTTGTGGCACTTGAGATAGCCTGAGAGAAAAAATGCAAGAGAGGGTGAGATGGAAGAGAGGGAAAGAAAATAAGTTTTATAATTCTCAAGTTACATAAGAATTAAAATTTTATGTTGTAGAAACAAAAAGTATACGGAACTCATATATTACAAAAAATTATGTGTAGGATTCACCTCAATACGAAAATCAAAGGGTGTGGGTGTGTAGGAAGATTTCAATTCTCGTGTTAAATGAGAATTATAAAATTCAAAAAAAATAACATTAATCCAAAGCTATCGGATAAAACTGTAAGATAATTTAGTGGTAAATATAACTAGGGTTGGCTCGTAACGTAAAAAATGAGCCAGGTGGGGTTGACAAAATGAGTTGCCAACCCGACCCAGTTCGAAAAAAAAAAAACGAGCCAACCTGCGGATTAAACAGGCCAGCTCGTGGGTTGAATTTTCTTTTTTTATAAAAAATATATAAATATAATATACAAAAATGGATAATACTCACACCTTCCTTCTCTAAACCTAAGTCTCTAATCTTCTCACATCCATTTCATTTTTATATTGTTAGACTGTGCTGGCTTTGTTTGGTTCAAATATTTTACTCACTTGATAGCAAGTGGTTCTGATTGTTTCATGATGTTAATGCAAATTTGTTGTGAAGAAAATTCGAAACTATAATATTTTTCTTTTAGTTCTCATTTTGTAACCCTTTGTTTAAGCTGATGGAAGTCACATAGCTGGTGCATTAATACTACAGGTTCATTTAAATAGGCTGAAAACGAGCCAACACGAGAGCAATTTTCGAGTCAACTCGCGAGCTATTTTTTTCAAGCCAACCCATGAGCCATATTTTTGAGCCAACCCGCAAACAAACCCGAACCCGACTGGGTCGGGCTGAGTTGAGTTTTCTGGCTCGTTTCTTTTTTTAGCCAACCCTAACCTGGCTCGTTTTTTTTGGGTTGCATGCGGGTTGAGTCTAGTCGAGCCGGGTTCATCCGTTTTGCCAAACCTAAATATTATCGGTCTTTTTATTTATATATTTAAAAATTGAGAAAAATATTTTTCTAGTCATTAGATATAAAGTTATCTCTAGTGAGCTTGAAATGACATCGTTTTAAGATTATAAAATTAAAAAATTATAATAATAAAGACTAATATAATCCTGAATATATTAGAATTACAAAAATACTTTGATTTTTTGTCTCAAAACAACGTCTCGTTGAAGATAATTTATTTTAATTGACGGAAAATCTTTTACCATTTTATTAAATATTTCAGTGTCTATGGCGGTGGAAGAGGTGGGGCAATCAGCTACATCCGTGTCAGCGGAAACTGTTCCCCTAACGACCTCCATTTGTCAATCCATTATTGTTTCCGTCGTCCGCACCACACCCAATGACTCCAAGTCCAATCCTGTTAGTGCCGATTCACGACTTGCTCACAAGTCAATCATGCTTTCTCCGATTCGGAAATGTTTATTATGGTTTATGACCACCTAACGATGATCTGGTGCTTCCTTTTACATTATTTATTTTTTTTATTTTTTTTCTTTTTCAATTTTACCTCTTCGTTTACACTAAAAAAATCATATAAAAAATAGTGATCTCGTACCGCAATAAATAATCTCCTCCGCTTCTATCCTATCACATAAAATAAAAAATAAAAAATTACGATATGCAAACTTTTGTTAATTCTGAAATCTCTTCTTCATTTTATCTTCCCTCACTCGTTTCTTCTTTTCTTTGATTTCCAGCTGAGAAAAATCGTTGGCTTGGGTCAGTGATTCTTTCTTTGTTTTATGACCTACCAATCAACTTCCCTTCCCAGCTGTCAAACAGGCCTTCCTTTTACTTTTCCTTTTTTTTTTTTTTTTGGTTGATTTCGAAAAATAAGGTTCTTTTTCAGTTTCTCTAATTCCTCGCATAGCAAAAGCGAAGTTAACAAATTAAATACTGGAAAAGTGCGAAGCTTGTGAGTTAAGTTTGGTTTGTGATATCATATGCTTTTGGGGTTGGAAGAGCGTGCAATGCAGAAGCTGAGTTTTCTGTAGTGAGAGAGAGACACAGAAGAAGAGGAACGCCATGGTAGTTAGGAAAGTTGGTAAGTATGAGATTGGGAGGACGATTGGGGAGGGAACCTTTGCGAAGGTGAAGTTCGCTCAGAACACAGAGACCGGCGAGAGTGTGGCCATGAAGGTGCTCGACCGTAACACCATCATCAAGCACAAGATGGTCGACCAGGTACTATTAACTACCCTAACTTCTTGCGATCCACTTCCTTACATGATTGGACCCCTCTTATTTGGCTTTGATCATTCCAATCATGCTTAATTTTTACTAGTTTTTTTTGTTTCCTCCTAAAATAAAAAAAATTGAAGTATGTTCCCTAAGCTTGCTGTTATTCTCTTCTGTAACGTATTAGAGGCTTTTGGATTATGAATTTGTTATATAAGAGTCGGTACCCTTTGCAAAGCATAAAGCATGAATGCCTTCACAACTTCACTTGCCACATAAATCGCTGTGAGTGGTGCATATAGCAGTGATCTGTTATATTTGAGAGTTTCGGTGCAGTTATAAATTAAGATGAAATAAGAATCTTAACCTTTCATTCTCACTTGATGTTAACACTTTGATTGGATTCGCATTCCTATAAGTGACCTTAAGAGGCTTAGGCTTGAATTTCTTTCATTCTAAGGTATAACAAGTTTCATGATTCTAGTTGTGATTGGTATGTTTCTATTTTCAAATTGTATTTGATTTTTCCTCCCCTTATTTTGCAGATCAAGAGGGAGATTTCCATTATGAAGCTAGTCAGGCATCCTTATGTTGTTCGTCTGCATGAGGCATGTGATAATTTTTTAAATTTGTACCCCCATGCTTTCACTCTTCAGTTTCACAATGTCATGATACTTTAAATGTATTTTTTAAATTAAGGGCCCGTTTGGCTTCTTTTCTCTGAAAAATAAGCTGTTCTCCAAATCATGATTATCAGTGAAAGTATGAAATATAGTTTCAAGTAATTTTTTAGAAGTATTTTCAGTCAAGTACAAGCAAAACCAGAATTATGGAATTTCTTTTTCCATGATTGTTTGGAGACAGGAACACTATTAGAAACATATTTTGAAAATTTATCTTGATTAAATGGAAGTTCCTTTCTTTCTGGTTCACTCTTATTCCTTGAAAAAGTTTTAAAAGAAGAACCACACTGATTCAATCTTTTGTCTGATAAGCCATTATAATGTTTCTCTTGTTAGCTGTCACCACTCTCAAGCACTTCATTCTGTTGTAACATTTTATTTTTTCAGGTTCTTGCTAGCCGTACTAAGATTTATATCATATTGGAGTTCATTACAGGTGGTGAATTGTTTGATAAAATTGTAAGTAGCTCAAGATGAACCTTTTTTTTAACAGCTTTTACGATGTCTTTTATCAATTATCATTCAAGATATTGGAGAAGTTGATGGTGAATAATAAATTGTGCAGATACACCATGGGCGTCTTAGTGAAGCTGAATCTAGAAGATATTTCCAACAGCTTATTGATGGTGTAGATTACTGCCACAGTAAGGGAGTTTATCACAGAGATTTAAAGGTTTGCATTGTCTTGGATCTGGAACGTTGTCACCTATCCTTATCATGAATTCTTCTAATTTTTTTTAACCTTATGCAGCCTGAGAATCTTTTACTTGATTCAGAAGGAAATATAAAGATTTCAGATTTTGGTTTGAGTGCATTGCCTGAGCAGGTGAGATTGTTATCAAATAGATGTATAGCTTTGATTCATGTAGATGAATTGATACCAAGCCGCTTCATACTTGTTGAATATTCTCATAGGGAGTGAGTATCCTTCGAACAACTTGTGGGACTCCAAACTATGTTGCTCCTGAGGTAAATACATGAGTAGCTTGTTGTCTAGTTCAATTTCAGTTTAAGTGCAGATACTGTTCTTATGCTGGCTTCTGTATTTTGCATTTAACTTTGTTGCCTTAGGTACTCAGTCACAAGGGTTACAATGGTGCTGTGGCAGATGTTTGGTCCTGTGGGGTTATCCTTTATGTCTTATTGGCTGGATATCTTCCCTTTGATGAGCTTGATCTAACCACCTTATACAGTAAGGCATGAATTTAAACATGTCAGATATGTATTTTACTACTGTAGAATAGATTGGATTGGACCGCAGAGCAAAATATTTGTCTTCATATGGTGACATACATCAATTATTATTTATTACCAATTTAACATGATAATAAGTAGTAAATCATTTGCTCGCCTTTTGTGGTGAAAGAGTTTACAAAGCAGCAAATTGAACCTGAGTTCTGGGTGAGGACTGAAAATGAAAATTTTCATCAATAGTCTCTTGCATCTTCTAATAGGTGCTGACTGCAGTCCTGACAGGCTACAAATTCTTGTGGTTACATTCTTTTTTCTGTGTCCAAAGGCTTAAGAAATACTTCATTATCTAATGGTTGATAATCAAGAATGTTTTCATGAAAATGGAATTCCAATATTAATGCTGATGAATTTTCTTGGGTTTTATGTTTCTATCTTGCAGATTGAGAAAGCAGAGTTTTCATGCCCTCCTTGGTTTCCTGTGGGTGCAAAATCGTTGATACATAGAATTTTGGATCCAAATCCTGAAACCGTAAGTTTTGGCTTTGCACAAGAGTTGTGAGACACTGCCTTTCACTGTCAATTTAAAAATTAATATTGTATGACCACTGAAGCAGAAAATGAATTAGGTGTTTGATGTGGTTCGTGAGGTGATACAAAGGCTTCTAGAAAGCTTAAGAATCTGATGATATGTAGTTCTCATGCATGATTATGAACTTATGACTTTTTTCCAGTAAAGTAAATGGAAATGATAGAAAGAGTTAGATTTGTATTGAAAGGACCTAATAGTCTTGGTGACTATGCAGTTGTGGCATGTTATGATCTTATTATTTTTCTCCATTTGTATATCGAGACGAAATAATTTTAGTTTGTTTCATTGGTAATGGTAGGTACTGTGTAATGCATTTATTTATGTTATATTGTATCTCAAATTGTTGATATAATGATATATGGTGCTAACTTCTTTATTTAGTTTTAATATGTAAAATGAATGAACTCCTGTACAAGTTTGTATTTCGTATAGAAGTTGTTGGACACTTTAATCCTTAACATGTCTTTTCTTTTCATAGAAGAGCCCTTTGAGCTTGAAGTGTTGACAATGCACAACACACTTCATGCTGAAATTAATTTAATTATGAAGAGTGGGAGTGGCAAATACCAACTTTTCTAAATGCTGTTTTTATGTGGATGCTCATGAGTTGTTTTGTATCTCTTAACAAGATTAATAGATGATGCATTGAATAACATAACATAGCTCTTCGTTTGATGTGGAAAAGCTATTCTTACATGAAACTTATCCTTTTTGGTTGAACTCAATAATGATCATTAATACTCGAGTTATTTATAAAATGTTCATGGTTCTGATTACCCGAATCTTGTTTGCATGGAACACATATATTCTCTATTTCATCCTGCAAAACTTGAATTAAAGGTGTAGTTCACCCAATAGTTCATGATAATTTTTTTGTCTACTGACACCACGTGTATCAACATGGTCTAATCATACTTGATGATGATGTTCAGGGATTTCTTCCATTTTCTGTATTGGACCTTGTTTTTGTTTATGTTTGATGCGTAATGTACTAAGTACCTGTTTTCTAGTGGATTTAAATCTTACTTCTATTTCATGGTCCCAATTGATTCTGACTAGTCTCTTCCCCTCTTCCCTCTTTGTTTGTGGGCGTGAATGTGCATTTGCAGCGTATAACCATTGAACAGATAAGAAATGATGAATGGTTTCAGAGGGGACATGTTCCCGTCAGTCTTCTCGAGTATGAAGATGTAAATCTGGATGATGTAAATGCCGCTTTTGATGATGCTGAGGTTTGTTACATCTGTATGATTTTATTTATTTATTTAAGCTAATTCACCTTCATTTTTCCAGTCTACCCATTAAACTTCATATTTTTAGGTTGAATTGTATATAATGAATGTTCTGTATGCCTCTCCACAATTTTATTTTATAGAGGCATATCAAAGAAGCCTAAATGATAAACAAAATTATTAAAGATATTTTGAATTATCTTATTGCTGGAAAACCATCCATTACTGGCATGGCATGGCTTCATCAAACCTCTAGTTTACCGAATACACATCAAAGCAGAAGAATGGGATTTTATGTTAAGACTGTAATGCAAATTGCAGTTGATATTGCAAACAGTACCCGTGTTGTCATTTTTCACATTTTTTGTCCCTTTTCTTCAATTAAGGATTCAGGCTTGTTTTTTCCTGTTGCATTCATATGGTAATTACCTCCCAGACTTGCTGACTAGCTGATTATTTTTTCACTGAAGGGACAGACGGCTAATCAACAATGTGATAATGAGGACATGGGTCCTTTAATGCTTAATGCATTTGACTTGATAATTCTATCACAAGGCTTAAACCTTGCAACAATGTTTGATCGTGGACAGGTATTTAATCATGTCATTGTCTTTGCTATGAGGCTCAAATAACAGCCCATATAATCCCAACTCCCAAGGGAATTTTCCAGATCTATAGATGTAATCTTTACCATGTGAGGCATGCTGTGAAGTAAAATATGTTCTTGCACCCCATTTTTCTGTCATTTAAAGGTCCAAGACTCTTAAAATTTTCCATATTTAGGGGTAAGATATCACATATGTCTCTGTAATATCCTTACAGGACTCTGTGAAGTACCAAACCCGCTTTATCTCTCAAAAGCCAGCTAAAGTGGTTTTATCAAGTATGGAAGTTGTGGCACAATCAATGGGATTTAAGACGCATATTCGCAACTACAAGGTTGGTAGCCTATAATATGCACAGTTGATTGATCGACCAGTTTGACCCTTTCGCTGCTTTTGTTGCTCGGTATTCTTTTGCATCATTTTGTCCTTTTAAGTACCCACACAAGTTTCAAATCTTTAGCATCTGATGTCATTTTTTACATGAGATGAAACCTGTCTAAATTCTAAAGTTATTCTTCATCTGAAGTGATATTTTTATGAATTTTCAGATGAGGGTGGAGGGTATTTCAGCAAATAAAACGTCTTATTTCTCGGTTATCCTGGAAGTAAGTTTCTGTCCCTCTACCAGAATTTCAACTGCCCCCTTAACATTTTGGCTAACAAAATAATTCTTGTTTAACTGCACAGATTTTTGAAGTGGCTCCCACATTTTATATGGTAGACATTCAGAAAGCAGCTGGAGATGCAGGTGAATACCTCAAGGTAAGTGTTTGAAAACCTCACTTTGCCCCATTGCTTGAATTTAATTTATGACGGGAGGTACCCTCCTTTATGTTGCAGTTTTACAAGAACTTTTGTAACAATCTTGAGGATATAATCTGGAAACCGCCTCATGAAGCAAGCAAATCAAGGATCTCTAAAACTAAAAGCAAAAGACGATAGTTTCATTACTCATGATAGCTTCTGCTTTAATTGAAAAGAAAAAGTGGAAAAATAAAGATTCATTGTGATGGAACATGAACTTTTAAAGAAGGATTGACATATAGACGCACGGGCCCTGCATATCAAGGTTAATCCAGTTTGCCTAATCCCAACATCCTAGGTACTTTTAAGTCCGCCCTAAACTTTACCAATCACCACTTCATATAGAAGACCAAATCCAAATTCGAAAGAGGTATAACGAGAGTATATGTTTATATATATAATCTTGTATTTTTGGTGTATGTAACTCTTTATTTATCTGCTTTATTAGTCCTACCAGTAAAATGTATCCTATAGCCATAAGAGTGCAAGTATTCTGACAGTTGATTATGATGTATGTTACGTCGGGTTATCAGTTACCACGACTAGAATATCGAAGGGTAGATGTCACACTGTTTCATGTGATTTGTATTTGTGGGTGCATTATTGAAACAAGAGAAAGAAAGCAGAGAAATAGAATTTATCCATGTTGCCCTGCCCTGTTGTGAATGAAATGTCCAGTGCTCTTTCCATTGGCGGTGTTTATCTTGAATTACGCTGAGTAGCACCTGGCTTTCCTTAAAAGCCATGGTGTTCATGTAATCGCTGTCACTGCTTGCTATTGATAGCCACTTTTGAGTATATATATCAAATAATATAATTTAAGTACTTATAATAAGTTAACTTGAATAAAAATTATTTCAGAACTATGCATAAACAGCATACAAATACAAATAAATATGCACTTATAAAGATGATACAAATAACTTATAATTTTGTAATCAAGGAGTTTGGTTTATGTATGGAATTAAAGTTACGAAAAGATGCTTGTGGTGGAAATAGCAGTACCAATATCTAGAACAATGACTAGTTTCAAATAAAAAAATGTAAACAAATCTTATGACCAAAAAAGATAAAAAAAATCCGAGGCTCACCAATAAAAAAAAGAAAAACAATATTGTGGACATTGTTTGGCTACAAAATGCTCTCACCAGTTTACCTCATCAGTGAAAAAAAGTTTAACTTCTCTCGGAACACAATCGATTGTAACATATACTTTGAGCCCCAGTTTTAAACTTGAATGACGTATGTTTAATTTGTTGATAAATTATGTGGAAGAACACTTGATTTTGTTATAAGTTTCAAGGTAGCTGGTATCCTAAAATAAGTTGTGCTCGCCAAGTTTTTTATAAAATAATTTAGTTTTAGGGGTGATCAGGTCCTATTACTTGCGAGATGAGGTCAATCTAACAGAGGCCTAAAAGACCTAAAAATCATGACTTAATTCTAAAGTAAACAAGTGCAAGTAGAAACCGTCGGTATTTCGCCAACTTGGTTGATAGGCACTTGACTAGCACGCAAGTAAATAGGACTGGCTAGATCAGCAGCTCAAAACAACTTGACCTTCACATGATTGAATGACAACATCAGCTTGTTGCCTTCTCTACTAAGGGCTAGTCTGGCTATAAACATCTCATCCAAAGAATAGCCTATGAAAGGCTATCATGCTCCACCAATGGTAGTGAAACCATTATAGAAAGACGACATAAATCAAGACGCCCTTCTACTATAAATGCAGAGGTATTCAGCCCATATAAAATCATCTATTCTTGAATACTTGAACTATATTGAATATTGAACTTGCTCAAGTATCAGAGTGTCTTGCAATTATACACTCTTATCTCATCAAATTCTCCGAACTTTAAAGAACCAGCACAACTATATCGCCAAGATAGTCAAACTATCTCACCTGCATCTTGTTAGCTAGGCAAACATTCTCTTCATCAACTATGTGTAGTTTAGCCTAGTCAGGTAGTTTTTGGACTGATTAAGGGGTATTTTAAAATTTAGGATTATTGAATTAAAAAAATACTAATGTAAATTTTAATTATGAAAAAAGTGATTCTTCTAATTAAATAAAATAGTAATAAAAATAAATTAATTATTTATAAAATTAAAAATCATGTATGCATAAAATAATTTATAATATTTTTTTGATACAAAAGTTTATAAGATATATTTCATAAAATGTAAAAATTTATAATTTATAATAATATATATGTGTAATACAAATAATCTTATATGTAGCGTGTTCAATTATTTTTCAGATAACAGTTTTTTTTTATTTCTTCTATTTAATGTATTTTTTATTCTTTTTTTTTATTCAATGAATAAACTCGTATACTAGATATTTTAACATATTTTGATATATAATTTAGAGTAAAGTACCTTTTGAGTCCTCAACAAATATCATGGGACCCAATTTAATACTTTAGGGAAAAAAAGTCGACTCGTGGTCACTTTGAAATTCAAAATAGATCCATGTTAGTCTTTTTGAAGAACTATCATGGGTCTTCTTTTGAATTTCAGAGAGATCACGATTTCAACTAACTGAATCTATTTTGAAATTTAAAGGAACTACAAGTCGACTTTTTTTTCCTAACGGGTTAAAATGGCTCTCATTATTTTTGTTGAAGACTCAAAATATATTTTACTCTATAATTTATTAGTTAGAAGTTAATGAATAAAGTTAATAGTAAAATTATTTTTATCTTTTCATTAAAAATGAATTTAAGTACTATCTTATTTTTAATAAATTTAGTTTTTATTAGTCTTCTTAATTAAATAAGCTAATTTAGACCATTAAAATAAAAGAAAATCAAAAGTTGACTTGTGTCACAGTTTAAATAACTAAAATAACAATAAGTTTGAGTCGTTTCTTCAACAAAAATTTGAGGCTCTTTGTCGAAAATAAAATGTAGACTTTTTGAACCTTAAAGTCTAAAGCAATGGGTTGAGAAAGGTTAGTTTAACCCTTTTTTAATGATCGGATGATAAATGAACCGGTTTTTTTTTTTTTTTTTTTTTTTGAAAAAAATATAGTTCTAAACAAGACTGTTTGAGACATGTTGGTGAGTCAACTTGTCTAAAATTTAAGAAATAAAAATAATGAAAAGAAAGTTAGACATGTAAACTTATTAAAAATTAAATACCTAAAATTATATAAAAACAAGGGAAAAGTTCACCAATGCCCATGTGGTTTACTTCAGAATCACTTATGCCCCTGTGGTTTGTAAAAATGTATGTTTTTTATCACATATACCCCTGTGGTTTCTTATTTTTTACTAAGCACAAGGGCATATGTGATAGAAAAAAAACCACAGAGGCATAAATGATTCTGAAGCAAACCACAGGAACATTGGTGGACTTTTTCCAAAAAACAAAATTAACCCGCTTAACTCACTTTAAAAAAATTATAACTACATTAGACAATTTTCCTTTATTCATTTGATCAATTACTGAGTTTCAAGTTAGATATGAAGCTAAAGTCATGGATTTCTCTTTATATGGCAAACTCAAATTATATATAATTTCTTGAATGAGTCTCCTGAATAATGCCCAGACTAATCATCTATCCCTTATGTAGCATATGCTAGTTATCTAAAGAACTAAAAATAAAATGAAAAATATTTTTCATTTTAAAGGACACAAATTTGTATTCTTTAAAATAAGAAACAATTTTTTCAAAAATAAATGCACTGACTGAAGTGGAGTTATATTGAAACACAAACAATGTAAGATTTAAAGTCAATTTATAAATGATGATGTTGTTGCATAAAAATTAAGAAAGGCATTAAACAACATTAATTATAAATAAAATAAGTTCATTTGATTGAATTATGACGTATAAAAATACTTGAAACATTATTATCACCTAATAATCTTTTTTTCTGACTTATTAATGTTAAGGACAAAGTTAAAAATATTTTTTTTTAAATAAACAAATAATAACACTTTTAAAGACACTAAAAAGGAACGGAGGGGAATAAGATGTGGTTGATAGGACTTTTTCAAGCAAATTAGAAATCTCCTTTTCCTTTTCAATTTCTTTCTTACGTAAAATCTTCTCCAATTATTTATTTCCAATTTTATTAAATGTATCTAAGAGTGTATATGATAAAAGTGAAAATATATAAAGAAAAAATTGTAAATTTTGATGAAGTATTTTGACATTACTAATTCTAAATAGATATATCATTTTCACTTCTAAAATCTTATTTAAAAAAATTCTACATTAATTCTTAATATACACATTAGCATTTTGGCAATAAAAAAATTTATACTTGGAATATATATATATATATATATATATATATATATATATATATATTATTCCAAGTATAAATTTCACTAATATAAAAGTATTTTTTTTTTCGTGAAGAAAAATGATTTAGTCAATTAACGGTAAAAAAGAGAAAGTCATTTTGTAATTTTTTTAGTTGAAATTTTATGATATGTTTATTTTAAGATTTATCATGCGCAAATAAGCATTTATACGCTTCCCAACAATGTTTACTGGAAGCAAAAAAAGGGACCATTTTTCTCAAGGAACCGGGCACAGCTGCGTTGAACATTATTTTAACAAACAGACAGTAGATTTCATTAGTGCTGCAACACGTTTGCTTTTGCATCACTTTATAGTATAACCAATTTGACGGGGTGGATCATCTCATGGTATCGTAGCATCATGAGATGTCGTTTTCTATTTCCCAATATATAATGAGATGACAAAAATTTATTTCTTCATTTCTGAACTTATATAGTTCATGTACCGAAAGCAAAACTAGTATTATAATACGCTTTGTCTCTTATACTGTAAATGCAATTCCATTTTTATTTCTCATGAGATTCTTCTGATCATTTCTTTAAAAAAAAAAGATGTAAATTTATTCAAATAATTTAATTATGGCATATTGAGATTTGTTTTCAAAAAAAATAGTATTAATACTTTTTTTAGCCAAACGTATTTTTAGAATGTTTTAATTTTTTTTGTAAAGTTAATTTAATTTAAATACTTATTAAATAAAAATCTAGTACTAATTTTTGAATTTAGAAAACTAGTACAACCCACATGCAACATATTTAGTATTATTATTAATATATATGCATAATTTATCTCTTTGAAAATTACAACATGTAACGCCATTTGCATAGTAAATTTTATAATAATCAAAATGCTTTTGTTTACTTTACAATATTCACCCATATATAACAAATTCATGTTCTCATTATTTAGAGCCTGTTCGAGAATTATTTTTTTAAAGCTAAAAGTTATATTTAAGTTAAAGTTTACAAAAAAATGAAAAAAACTACAAGCTATTTGAATATTAAATAAAATTTTAATTTAAAAATTACTTAAAAGCTATTCATATTTTTTTTACAAAAAAAGAGAGCACACATGGCAAGAAAAGTTTATAAAAGCTTAAAAAAAATTCTTTTATAAGCTTTTGACTTTTGATATTTTTATTTATTATAAAAAAAACTTTTTTTTATTATAAGAACTTCTATAAATATCTGTTTGGCCTAATTCCTGTTTATAAGAAGAAGAAAAAAATCCAAACATACATGGATAATATCATCCATCTTACCTAACCACGTGTCTTCCTCTTTTTGTCACGCAAATTTTCTGACTTTCCACATTAATATTTATTATTTTTAATTAGCTATTTATTTAAATTAGATTTTTACTTTTTCTAATTTTTTAAATCAATGTAACATTAGACGTAATGAAATATTAGTAAATCATCAGTAAAATAATATTTTATCACATAAACTAAATTTTGGAAATTTTCGAGGCCGGAAGTTTCAACTTTCAAACACCAATGTCCTTTATATTTAAATGTAATTTTTTATTTTTAATAAAAGGGAAAAATATTTCTGCTTTTACTGCAAAAAATATTTCTCTGCCACATTCGTATAAAAATGAGTGAGTCTCGAGAAAAGAGAAAAAATTAATAGAATTCATTTATTTTTATGTAAGTGTGACGAATAAATATTTTCTACTGCAATATATATATTTAACCCTTAATAAAATACTATTTTATAAAGTTAAGTAATCTTCCTTTAAAAACAAGATTAAAAATAAGCGTTTAAAGTTACTTTAAATAATTTTATCTAATATTTATTAAAATACACACAAAAAAGTATATGGAATTCATGTGAACTCATGTGAAGAGGAGAGAGAAAAAAAAAAGATACCACACAAATTTTTATGTGTACTTCTAAACATTGAATAAAGTTATCTAAAATAACTTTAAAACTTTAAACCCTAAAAATAAAAATAAAGTATTGAATATTAAATAAAGTTATCTAATATTTCTTTTCTCTCTCCCCTTGTATGTGAGTCACACTGCTGTTTTGTGAATGATGCATGATATAATTCTTCTCTAGTTCCCAAAAATAAATGAATTGTTAAACAAGTGGACAGCTAAAATTTTGCTGGATAAAACTGAATTGAATACATACTCATTAAGGGTCCGAATTCATTCTAAGATAAAATCCAAAGTATTAAATGTCATTAGATTTCTTATTAACTTTTGTACCAAAAAATTAAATAGTAATAATAATAAAGTTCGATATAAATTGCAAATGAGAAGGAGCAAAAGCTGAAAAGAATCGACGTTACGATGCAAAGCAGCTCAAGAATCTTCCATTCTTGATTTCTTCTTCCTAGCGAGTGAGTGTATGTGTGTGCGTCACTAGCATGGCCTCCATCGAAATAGAGAGCGTCGATGGCAGAGAAGCCAGCAATGACGACGACGTTTCACCGATCGAGCAGGTTCGGCTCATCGTGTCCAACGAAGATGACCCGACCCTACCGGTATGGACCTTCCGTATGTGGTTCCTGGGAATTGTCTCGGTGGTGCTACTCTCTTTCTTGAACACATTTTTCGGTTACAGGACCGAGCCTCTGTTGGTTACTATGATATCAATTCAGGTGGCCTCGCTTCCAATTGGTCGATTCATGGAGAGAGTGCTTCCAACGAGGAGGTTTCGGGTCTTCGGGTTCGGAGAGTTCTCGCTTAACCCGGGCCCATTTAACGTGAAGGAGCACGTGCTTATTTCCATATTCGCAAATGCGGGTGCTGCATTTGGGAATGGTTCTGCTTATGCTCTCAGTATTGTGGATATAATTCGCGTCTTTTACGGTAGAAAGATTAGTTTCTTGGCTAGCTGGCTCCTTGTCATAACAACGCAGGTACGTTTCCTTATTATTTGCGTTGTCATATTTTAGAGAGAGAAAGAGAAAGAGTCTTTTGAAATTGAAATGAATGGGAGTTACTGACTGAAGGAGTGATAAACAGGTTTTGGGGTATGGATGGGCCGGGATATTGAGAAAGTACGTGGTGGAACCGGCGCATATGTGGTGGCCCTCAACACTAGTGCAAGTTTCTTTGTTCAGGTAATTAATTAAAGCTCGTAATTAACGTGGTGCTTAGGCGATGCTATGGTTTTTGTTGAGGGATTCCAATCCTCCAATTTAGCTTTATTTGATTAAGGGAAACTTTTGTTATACTAATTGTGTGTGTATTTGTATAAACTAATTCTTCGTTGTATAAATTTACTAATACTCATATCTGGATCTCTATTTTTCTTTTTTCTTTTTTTGGTTCACTTCTTCATTATATGAAGAATTCATTTACTTGAGTCAGACACAAGATCCATTTGGTGGAATGGCATTGCCTTTCATGTCATATAGTTTTAAAGGAACCTAAACTTTTTTGTGCAATTTATATATAATTTTTTTATTTTTGCAAGCTTGGGTTTAGATTTTTTTATTTTGAACTTTGAAGATCAAGAGCATTTTATTTCCGAATAAACCAAAGTTTTAAATTTTATAAAAAGAGTTAATCTTTTTTCTTTGGTTGTTGGAGAAAAAATTCACCTTCCTGCGTAGAGAAAAACTCATGGTGCCCATCTCTTTTTAGTAGGAGATTAATTTTTTCTCTAACAATAGAAAAAAAGATTAACCCTTATAAAAAATAAAAAAATGTTTGTCATTTTAAACTACATAATTTTGTGTCATTTTTAATAAATTTATATCATTTTGGTGTTTTTTTTTTGCATTCTCTCTCCTCCACTTTTTTTTGTTGCCTAATTTCATAAAAAAGAAAAAATATAAAAATACATCAAAATAACGTAATTTCATTAAAATGACAAAATTTGTCATTTAAAATAATAAATATTTTTTCCATGAAAAATATAGGTAATACTTTTTTTATGTTGCATAAGAAAATTATTATTTCCTACATTTACATATTTTAAATGGATCCCACAAGAATTTTTTCTCTCACCTCCATTTTTTTTCTCTTTTATTTATTATTTGAGTAGGAGATAATACTTTTTTTATGCCACAACAAAAAATAATTGAACGCATCGTTTGGTTAAAAAATTGAAAAGAATTGTAGGGACTGTTTGGACCAAAAATAAAAAATTATTTAATAAAAAATTAATTTTATCTCATACATAACGGTATACCAAGCTAGCTCAATGGACTGTTGTGCTAGGTCGATGTGAAGTGGAGGTTTATAAACCATTTCAATGCTATTTTTTTGTTTAATGTGAGACTTCTACCCACACCTTTTTCATCTTTTTTTTTCTTCTTCTCCAAATTCACTTCTTATTCATAACCCATGAAATTTAGAGAGAAAAATTCAACACGTTTATCTTTTGTTTTCCAAATAAGTAAAAGATAAGCATAACATAATTATTATAATATCGAGCTAACGTTTATCTACTCAACCTAAACACCTGGCAGGGCTTTGCATGAAAAAGACACGAACCGCATGTCGCGAGGGAAATTCTTTTTGATTGCGCTTATTTGCAGCTTCTCGTGGTACGTCGTTCCTGGCTACCTCTTTGCCACTTTATCAATCATTTCGTGGGTGTGTTGGATATTTCCTCATTCGGTAACAGCCCATCAAATTGGATCAGGCAAGAATGGACTTGGTTTGGGTTCCTTTTCACTTGACTGGACCACTATAGCTGCATTCCTTGGCAATCCACTTGTTACCCCCTTCTTTGCAACAGCTAATATCATTGTGGGCTACATCTTATTAATCTATATACTCATTCCCATATCATATTGGGGACTTAATGTATATAATGCCAAGAACTTCCCCATATACTCTTCAAAACTATTCACTGCCCAAGGTCATAGATACAATGTGACAGCCATTGTGAATGAAAAGTTTGAGATAGATATGCAGGCATACGAGAAACAAGGACGCGTCAACATGAGTGTGTTCTTTGCTGTTAGCTATGGTGTTGGTTTTGCTGCCATTGTCTCTTCCCTCACTCATGTGGCCTTATTTAATGGGAGGTAATGGTTAAGAAGCAACTTATTGTTTTGTAGCTTTTTGTACTGAGACGTTGAAACTAAATGTTATTTTAAACAGGGAGATATATCAACAATTCCGATCTTCTCGATCTGGAAAGGAAGACATTCACACGAGATTGATGAAGAAGTACGAGGACATACCTAACTGGTGGTTTCATGTGATGCTTTTGGCTTCATTTCTACTTGCACTTGTACTCTGTATTTTCATGAAAGAACAGATACAAATGCCTTGGTGGGCTCTCATATTTGCAGCTGCGCTTGCAGTAACTTTTACTCTTCCCGTCAGCATCATAACGGCCACTACTAATCAGGTAAGAAACTACTAATTAAATCACCTATTGTTTGTTACCCGAGATTTTTTTATCTTGGGTAGGAAATTGCAATTCTGTTTTAATTACTACTTAGCACAAAATAAATATTTAGTAGCCCAGAAAAGAGAGATACTACTTATATTCAAATATCCGGTACTCAAAATTTCGGGCGTAGTTTGAGAGATATTCCACTAACCATAATTTTGTTTTTATGATTTGCCTCTTCCATTTTCAGACTCCAGGTTTAAATATCATTACGGAATACATAATGGGAGTGATTTTACCTGGCAGACCAATAGCCAACGTTTGTTTCAAAACCTATGGGTACATGAGTATGTCACAGGCTGTTTCCTTTCTATCTGATTTCAAGCTTGGACATTACATGAAGGTCCCGCCACGGTCAATGTTCATAGTTCAGGTATATAATTTTACTCGGCATTTTAGTCTAGGTGAAGAAGATAAAGCAGGATAGGAAATGATTCTCTTGATTGGAGAATGCAAATTATGAACAAATAATTTCATGTGCTACATGCATGACAAACTTTTAATTAGACTCCACTTGTTAAAATGATTATCCCATTTACTATCACTATCAGTTGATTTTGTGGTGATATTTGATTTAGATTTTGTAGTAATTGTTTTATTACATCAAGAAGCTGAGACTAGACTGTAATTTTGATTTACTTTATACTATCAAGTGATAACAAGTATCTAAGAAATTAAATTATGTTAAAGATGTGGCAATACATATATAATTGAATTATAGCAATCAAAATGAAAACCTGCAGAGAAATCTAACTACTTGGGTAATTCAAAATTTCAATGTTATGCATTAGGCTGTAGGGACTCTGATAGCTGGAACCGTCGATGTGGGCGTCGCATGGTGGTTGCTGGGTACAATCAAGAATATATGTCACGAAGAACTACTACCCCCAGAGAGTCCATGGACTTGCCCGGGTGACCAAGTCTTCTTTGATGCATCCGTCATATGGGGTTTGGTTGGTCCAAAAAGAATTTTTGGCATTCTTGGGAATTACTCAAAACTCAATTGGTTCTTCCTTATAGGAGCATTGGGACCACTAATTGTATGGCTACTACATAAAGCCTTTCCCAAACAGAAATGGATATCCTTAATTCACCTTCCTGTACTTCTTGGCGCAACTGGGAACATGCCACCAGCTAGCACAGTGAACTTCAATTCATGGATTATTGCTGCCACAATCTTTAACTATTTTATATTCAAACATCGTAAGAAGTGGTGGCAGCGATACAATTATGTACTAGCAGCAGCTTTAGACGCTGGATTGGCTTTCATGACGGTTCTTCTCTATTTTGCCGTTAACATGGAGGAAAAAAGTCTATCCTGGTGGGGACAAGATGAACACTGTGCCCTTGCCAAATGTCCAACAGCGAAAGGCATAATTGCTGAAGGGTGTCCTTAGGTGTTGATTCCCATATCAGTCATCATGTAGATACATTTATTTTAGTTGAATAAATATTGTCGTTTCTTCTTTTTGCTGCTCTCCACAGAAGTTGTAGTAAATTATTAACACTAATTAAAATATGAGATCGTATCTTGGCCTAAAAAAAAAAAAAACATATCAGGATTCAGACGCGTATCCTGATAAAAATAAATATTGCTGCACTTTTACCCATCTGCATTGATAGAAGAAGTATATAACCCTAAAAAATAACATCATATCATTTGAAAAGAAAAAAAAATTAAATGATAACTGACCAAATGACATGATATTTTTGGCCTACATGTCACATAATAAATAAGAATGGGGTAATATAAATATCATGTAACATGAACTCAAAACTATTTTTCTGCACAAACAATGTAAACGTGGGGTCCACCATTTTTCTTTTCTCTTTTTTTCTATCATTTTCTCTCTCTTCACTTTTGTTTTTGTAGGAAAATTAGCTAAGGTTATGTGACATAATACTTCTATAACCCATAAGAATAACACTGGTCGCACTAAAAATTTATTTTAGTTTCTGATTTCCTGCAAAGTGGAATAATACTTCTTATATTATCGTTTTTACTTTTTATTTTTAATGTTATTCCATTTTATCGTCGCCAAAATAAAATACCATTTAGACTTGGTGATGTTAACATTTAGTTGTAAGTAACCATTATTTTACGAAGTTTAGACCTTAAGCGTGGAAAGACGATGCTTCCAACTTCCAAGGCCTCTTCAGTCTTCACTAAGAATCAATCATATTTGTACTTTTATTCAGAGTAGGATCTCTGAATCTGCATCACCAAACAAGGGAATCATGAAGGGTACAGCTTAATTTAATTAAAGGGCTAAATTCCTTTAGAATGATTCCAAGAATCAATGATTGAATCTGGATTTTGGCCAGAATATTGTGTCGATGCCAAAATAAAAGTAGAGAGAGAAAGAAAGGGGAAAAGGGTAGTCAAAGATTTGTAGATTAATCGATCATCAATCGGGGCACTAGCAACAAGCAAGAACCTTATATAAACTATGCTGCTGCATTTTTGTCTGTTATAAGAAAATGTTTCTGCAATTGATTTATAAAAATAATATCTTATTGTGTAAACAGAACTATGCAACCCAACTGAAAACAAAAGTGCAGCTCACTTGTTGATGTGAGCTCTGCTCCAGCCCAATTATTATAACAACTTTTTTTTAAAAAAAGAAAAAAGAAAGAAAAAACAAATAGAAAGCGAAGATATTATATTTTCATCTTTTAGTGACGAGCCCTTTCAAAAAGAGGTTACATACTTACACCGTTACACGTTCACACAGATTATTGAGAAGATATTATAATGGGAGTTGCTAGTACACCCAGTTTAAATACCCCAATTATATCTTAGCTAAGCTAGGCATGGTCTAACATAGATAAAAATGTATTACACCCAGGTTATAGGGGCCATGATAAAAATGTATTAATTTTTAAAAACATTTTTATATACGTCAAATAGTAATTTGAATTTCTAAATGATGATATCAAATATTTGTTGGCTTTTAATTTTACAATAAATGTTTGAAAATTCAAATACAATTATATTCTTGAAAAAAAAAATTACCAAGTGATAACTATATAAAAAAAATTCTTTCATAAACATTGGATGTACGAGACCAATAAATTATTGACATATAAATAATTAATGATGCGCGTTGCTGATTTATTGAGTTAATGCCCAAATGTGGATTCACCAAGTTTATGCAAAAAACTGTTGTTAAAGATTACCAAGAAAATACTGTTGTTAAAATCTTGATTTATCATTACGATTTTATATTTTTATGATTTTTTTTTCATCAAAATAATTTTACCAATATTTCAAACGCTTTTATTTTTTTACGATTTGTTATAATTTTTTTTTTACGATCTTTTAGTCCTCTTTTAATTTTATTTAAAATATTGATTTTAACAACATTGATGCAAAACGTTCTCCTGCCATAGTGAAATAATTTTTCGGATCTTGTCTTCTGAATTTTCTTAGGGATCAACTCACGAATTCCTGAGCTGATCAGAATTGGTTGATTTGATCCAAATAATTATTTTTAGGCTAATTGTTTTATGGTTAACGCTCAAGATAATATTTGAGCTAGAGCTAGTGTATGGGTAAGATATGTATGTAGCGGCGCCCAAGTATAGAGTCCATGTATTTATAACGATGAAGGGATTTGATTCGTGGTATGTGTGATCCTCTGAAAGAGTTGGCGTCAGTTCCTTAGATGATATGGACTCTGATTGGCTTCGTAAAAGGATCCTGAGATATTGGTATTGTCTTTTAGAATCTGTATTTGCAAGCTTCTGATCGTAAGCTATGCTAGAACTAGCTCTGTCTCTGTGTCATCCCATTATTAGCTTGTGGAGACGGTGCCAACCTTGCCAGCTCATTGAGGTACTTGTGTTAGTCTTCTATTCTATGATGTTGCGCCTACGTCCCTCCTCCCTCGTATAGGTGAGGCCAATATCTTGCCTTCGTAAGGTCCAGCTTGGCCCGAAGTCAAATTAAACCATGATATTTTGGGCAGATAAAGGTAAATAGAAATAATTAAGTCTTGATCACTAAGAGTTATATCTTTTAGCCTAAGCACTCGATCCAATGCTTTTATTTGAGCCGAAGTCATGAGTTAAATTTCTCGAGATAACACTTGGTGGAAGACAAGTGCTGGGGGATTGTTGGTAAAACTCACTATTGTTAAAATTTTGATTTAAATTTGGACTTTTACAATTTTGTGATTTTTTTTATTCAAAATGATTTCATCAAAATTTCAAATATTTTTATAATTTTATGATTTTTTACAAAAAAAATTTATCGTAAGATTTTATGTTTTATGATTTTTTATCCTTTTTTTTAATTTTAAGTAAAATTTTGATTCTAACTACCATGATAAAATTAACATTCTATCTTGATAAGCCCGATATGAGTCGGTGTCAAATAAAATCATAATGTTTGGATTGATAAAGAGAAATAAAAAAAGTTATTCGTTGACTAACAATTATATCTTTTGAAATAGTAATAAGCAAAGGAAAAATATTTTTCTTTTAAATGACATAATTTATATCATTTTACTTTCAAGAAGAAGTGAGATCTACACTTTTACTTTTTTTGTCCACTTTTTTCCCTCACTGTTTATTTCTTTCTCTCATTTAAAATGATAAAATTTTACGTCCTTTAAAATGACACACACTTCTCTCAATAAACAATCGATCTAACACTAAGTGTGGCACAGTTTGCGTGTTGGTTTTATTATCCAAATGACGGTATTAATTTGCTTCAGGGGTAAAGGGTAGAAAACAAAACAGAGCATGAGAAGAATTGAGTCATTCATATTGAGCCTAGAACACTGTTATTAAAGGATTTTCCACGCCAAATAAAAACTTAGATATGCATGTCAAAGATTTAGTTTTTCTTTCAAATCTCTTTCTATAGTTACTTGTCAATTGTCATTATAAATTTTTAATTTACACGCAAATAACCATTATAAAGCAAAAATATAAAGTTAATCAATACTTATTTGTCAAAATCAATTCGAGGCTGCTGATATTTTCTAATATCGTGTTCTAGCAAGTTGTCTTCGATAATTAAAAAATTACTGCATAAATTTCGTATCCAACTCCTTTAAATTGTTTTCTGTTGGAACAGGGAAATGCCCCTGATAGCAACCACTGTTACCGAGCATTTAACTGTGGAATTGTTTCACCATAATCATCACATAGTAAGTAAACAGTTAAACATTGCCAATAATTTTGGATCCTCTCTTTTTAATCTAAAAATTACTTATAAGCATAAGTTAGACCAAATAGATTTTGAAAAAAATTCTTATAATAAAAAGTTCTTTTTTTATAACGAAGAAAAATGCTAAAAGCTTATGGGAGAAGCTTTTTTTTTTAGCTCTTGTTTACTTGTTTTGAATTATATACTTTTTTAAAAAATAAAAGCTACAGAGATTAAGAGAGCTAGCTTTTTTGAAATATGTGTTTTTAAGTAACTTTTAAACTAAAATTTATATGTTATTAACAAACAGCTTTTAACTCTCTATTTTTTAATCTCTTTTTCATAACTTTATCTTATAAGTAAGATCTAGCTTAAAAAAAAAAAAAAAAACAGACTCTTAAGTTTACAACAAAATGTTTTAGGTATTCCAGTGAACAACAATCTCTATTGGTGTTGCGTACAAGCTGATTATACACATAATTAGTGTTCTCTGTACTCTGTATTTGCTGCATCAAACGTTAATTTATATAAACGTGATTATTAGAATGCAAAGCTGATGTATTTATTTTTTCTTTCTCGTCTACTAATTCAACTTGTGTTGATACTTGATAATCAACAAGAAGCATGCACAACTATAACTAGAATCTTTTTTTGGGTTAAATATACAAAGAGCTTGAATCAATTTCTATATAAATGCTCTAAAAGGTGAAGTTTCTTATACAAATATATATTAACTGACCTTCAACGCTTCAACCTTATCATTGCTTGGGCGATTTAGCTGAAGGTGCTGCAAATCTAGCAGAGAACCCACGACGTAAATATTCCTGGTCATCCTCCACCCAACCCTCGTCAAAGTTCTGAGCATAGCTTAAAGGGTCATACCTAAAACCACTAACGGGTTTGTAAGTGTTTGTTCTCTTCGACCATGGAAGCTTCAATTTGAGACAACCCCAGCATGAAAGCAACCCTCCTTCAGTTTTGCTTCTAGGAGACGAACTTTTCTCCATGACGTTGAGATAGCTTCATGGAACGAAACTTCAGTGTAGTAATAATGTTGGTTGGGTCTTTTCTTGTTGGCCACTTTTATTTTGCTAAGGATTTTGAGTGTGCGGCAGAGAATAATATAATTAAAAAAAAAAAAAAAACCCTTTATGGGTTTGAAAGTGATGATACACGAACAAAATAATTTTTTTTTGTCCTCTTAGATTGATTCTTTGGATATGAAGAGAATCTCATAAA